CTGGTAAAAGTCCTGGGCGTGGCTTACTGCAGGGGAAGACTACCAACCAAGCTAGCCGAGGGAAGACACACCCCACACACTGCATGTGCTACAGCGTCTCCCAGCGGAGTCCAGCAGGGAAACTCCACAGAGATTCAGCATGGCTGGTCTTGTACTGGTCCTGTAGCATCGCAGAGAGGAAGCAGGTATGCACCATAAACCACATTGCACTGGGAGCTAGGGAACGAATAGGGGGAGGGAGCTGTCCAGATTTTCGAGTTTGGAAGTGGCAGCCTGTGGTTTACCTTGCACGCTGGCCTTTCTCAGTTGAGTACTCTCAGAATGCTCGTTGCTGGGCTCACACACTTCGATGCTCGAGCAGGAGTGTGCTCAGAGGTCAGGGATGCCCTCAGCGGCTGTCCTTCCAGCCCAGAGCATCACCAGTGCTCAGGTTGCGAATCTCCTCCTGCCTCTCTAGATATTCCTATTTGTATAGCAAACTGGTTCCCAAATTGCTCCTGGATACCAACATCTTGATGTTCAAGTCTCTCACGTAAAGTAATGTAAGGCATATTTGCTTATCATGTGCACACAGACTATTCTATTCTTTAAATCATCTCTAGATAAGTTAGCACCTGACACAACACAAATAACCTGTAAGTAGTTGCTGTACTTTATTGTTTAGGGAATAAAGCAAAGTCTGTGCACTGTCAAAACAGAGAGCCGCTAGTGGTCAGGACTTCAGTATGTCTTGGGTGGGGGGCACGTTCTTCAGCCAGGAGCACATAGTAACCCAACAGTTCTCTACCTAATAAACTATTATTCATCACAGATATATTTGTGGTTTACTTTATCATTAGACTTTTTGAATAAGGAAGAGGCATCTGATTTTATGAGCCTTGTATATTATTAGAAATACTGGACATAGTACAAAAAAAAAAGACAGAAAGGCTCCCTCTGAACTAGATTGGAGAAACCGCTTCAGTAGGATATTGGGAGACTAAATCTAGCAGGGTATGTAAACAGAATTAATGTAGCATTTAGTTGTTTTTATTCCAGGAATGTAAAGCTGCTTTACCATTAGAAAATTTGTTACAATACACTGCAACTCATGAAATAAAAGGCGGAAGAAAAACGCATTTAAACTAAATAGAAACAAATTAATTTAGGAAAATTTGTTACTTATGCATATCCAAATCTTTTTAGGAGACTATGTATAGAAGTTTCATGACATGTTGAAGGAATATTAACCAAAAACATGGAACAGAGCAAATTGTAATTTAAGACAAGGAAGTCTCACTTGCTATTCATTGAGTGCTCTTTCCATTCAGGAAGACCAGGACTAACAGATGAACCATAAAGCCGTCATTGTGGGCGGCTGTTACAACTATTCACATGGAACTTCTAAGGGAATCTGCAGATAAATTATTAAATGTTGTAAGAATTGTGTTGCACATACTCTGTTTAGCTCCTTGTATCTATTAATAAGTGGCATTTTTATACAATGAGCAAGCCTAGTGTAATTAACAAGCAGTATATATAAAGATATATAATACCCCTGCATAGCAGTAAAAACAAATTGGGAAATGAAATGTAATAGAAACAGCACAAAGGTAGTTTTGTGGAAGGGGTAGAAACAAGTTATCTGAAGCAGAGTCGTAGAAAACTTACACAGAGAATTCAGGATTGAAAATAGGTAAACAGCATTTTATATATTTTGATTTCAGTTACTACAGCTCTTGTACAGGGGTTTTCTCCCTCACATCAGTACCAGAGTTTTTATTCTGGTTCAGTATAGTAGATGAAAGATGGATAATGTAGTGGATGGGATGTGAATCTTTATTGCAGTGTAGTACGGTGGGTGGGGCATGGACCTTCGTTAGTGGAATTTACACTTCCTGATGCCAGGAGGGTAGAAGACCTTTTGATGTGCCTGTTGTCCATTCTGGATTCTTCATTTCCGAATTTGCAGTCTGTATTCTTCATTTCTTATAACTGATTAGTATGATCTGTCTATATGTTAGGAATTCTTTGTGTGTTCTTCTTATGAATGACTGTTTCGACTGCCATGCTTTTGTTAGCAATTGTATAGTGTTCCGTGCCACGTAGATATAATTATTTGTTGTTGTTGTTGTTTTTGTTGTTCGTGGGGCTTGAGCTCAGGGTCTGCACACTGAGTATGAGCTCTTTTGCTCAAGGCTAGTGCTCTACCAGTTTGAGTCACAGAACCACTTCTGGTTTTCTGGTAGTTTAATTAGAGATGAGAGTTTCATGGATTTCATGCCTGGGCTGCTTTCAAAGATCCTCAAATCTCAGCCTCCTGAGTAGCTAGGATTACAGGCATGAATAACTGGTACCCAGGTAGATATAAAATTTTGATGTTGCTTATAAAATACATTATGTTTGTGGTTTGTGGTTTGGTGTGTAATTTAAGAAATCTGTATTTACCTTGAAATTATAAAGGCCTGACAATATTTAAATTTTATTACTGTAATCTACATAGGATTTATCTTGCATGCGTTAGGTTAAATGTGGAATGCTAAATACAGTAATACAACTGAATAGTTCATTTGTTGCCTTTCTGATTTATATTTTTAGAGTATTCATTATGGTATACCCAAGAATAAATTCTAGTGGACTTAGAGATACACATATTTAAGAAAGACCTAAAAATGCTCAAATGACGCAGAAGAATTCTTTTATCCTTTGGGGGTGGGAGAGAACCTTGTAAATATGATTCAGGGAACTAAGGCTTAACACAAAAGTCATTCATCTCTGTGTTTTAGAACTTCTGTGTGCATGTGAGTCTATGTTAATGATCAGTTGGCAGCACATACAGATTTGTAACCTTTGAGACTCTACTGCCCACCCTATGTTGTAGCTTGTAAGAGGAAACATCAGTTGAGCACATGATACATACATTAACAGGCTCTTACTACGAGAAAAATATGAATGTGCAGCAGTGAATACTGAGATTTCTCAAGATCCTTGTTAGCATTAGTTAAACCCTCTTAAATGCCCCTGACCAGAACGTGGGAACGCAGGTGCTTCGGGTGAGGCTGGCCTGCCTCTGTGGGGGTGGAGGGACTGTCATCCCTATGCAGGAGAGCCTGACAGCACTCAGTGTACCTCGGCAAGAGCTGCCAAATGGAGTGTGACCCCTTGGAAAGATGGTGGGAACAGAGTGGTTGTCTGTAGGCGGGGAGGGCCCAGGAGGGCCTCGCTCAGCTTTCTGGCCTGTAGCCCATGCCTGATCTTTCTTACTGACAAGCCAGTGAAACTACAGAGCATGGCCGTCGCCGTCGTACGTGAACATGCCGTTGTAACTACTGGACCATTTAAGTGCACAGTATTGCTGCTTCTGTCCCACTGACTGAATGTGGACTACCATAAGTGAAACCATCAAAACAGCTGGCTTGGGGCTGGGAAGATGGCTCAGTGGTAGAGCGTGCCTTGCATGCCTGAGGCCCTGGGTTTGATTCCTCAGCACCACATAAGCAAAAGGAAAAAAGCCGGAAGTGGCTCTGTGGCTCAAGTGGTAGAGCGCTAGCCTTGAGCTGAAGAGCTGAGGGACAGCACCCAGGCCCAGAGTTCAGGCCCCACAACCGGACCCAAAAAACAAAACAAAACAAAAAAAACAGCTGGCTTTTCTAGAAAGACCTTTTTGAGATTCTCAGTGAATACGGGGCAGTCTGGATGGTATAAAGGGATGATTATTTGTATTACATATGAAGAAGCTAATTAGCTGCATTTAAAAATATTATTACTGAAATATATACAGGTAGAAAAGGATACATTAAAGGCTTACGTTAAAAGAAAAAAATTGGTTTTAAATCTTAGGACCATTTGAACAGTATAACAATGTTTTCATTTTTAAATTTGAAAGTAATAATTGAGCATTGAATTTGTGGTTGGCACCTAAAGGTTTTATATATCCTTTTATAAAGTGAATCTTGGCCGCATGCTTTTTCTTTCTTTTTTTTTTTTTTTCTTTTTTCCTGTCTTGGGGCCTTGGTGCTGTCCCTGAGCTTTTTTTGCTCAAGGTTGGTACTTTACCACTTTGAACCACAGCTCCACTTCCAGCTTTTTGGTGGTTAATTGAAGATAAGAATCTCACAGACTGGGCCTGGGAAGGTGGCTCAGTGGTAGAGCACTTGCCTTGCATGCATGAGGCCCTGGGTTTGATTCCTCAGCACCACATAAGTAAAAAAGAAAAAAGCCGGAAGTGGCACTGTGGCTCAAGTGGTAGAGCGCTAGCCTTGAGCTGAAAAGCTGAGGGACAGCACCCAGGCCCAGAGTTCAGGCCCCACGACCAGACCAAAAAAAAAAAATCTCACAGACTTTCCTGCTGTAGCTGTCTTCAAACCACAATCCTCAGATCTCAGCCTCCTGAGTGGATAGCATTACAGGTGGGAGCCACTGGCACCCAGCTGGTCCTATGCTATTTAATTTTGACTATTTTGTTGCTTTTTAATAGTCTCTGGCATTTGGGGTAGTCACAATCCTTTCAGAAACAGTGCAGGGTAAAGACTGGTGGTTAATGGTGATGTTCTAGTCACTATATATTGACTACTGATACAGCATTCATTATGGAAGTATCTTTATTGTTACTGTAAAAGGAGTGTTAGCATTTTCATGTGGAGGCTGAGGAGGAGACCATAGGCTACAGATATGTGTATGTAAAGTATGAATAAGAAGTTTATGGGGCTGGGAAGTTGGCTCAGTGGTAGAGCGCTTGCCTTGCATGCATGAGGCCCTGGGTTCGATTCCTTAGTACCACATGAGCAAAAAGAAAAAAGCTGGAAGTGGCGTTGTGGCTCAAGTGGTAGAGCGCTAGCCTTGAGCTGAAGAGCTGAGGGACAGCACCCAGGCCCAGAGTTCAGGCCCCACGACCAGACCCTCCCCCCTACCCCCCCAAAAAAGAAGTTGGTTTATTTTGGTGTTTATAACACATAATGTTAACTTAAGCAAAACAGTTACCTGTGATAGTAACACAACTAACTGAAGCTTTTTTCTTTCAGAATTTAAATGAATATGTTGAAGCATTAATTACCTTGAAACAAAAAATAATCAATACGGAGTAAGTATATGTGTGTGTGTTTGGCAGAATATTGTGAACTTGGCCAACTGACTGGGTGGTGGTTGGGGCATTTGGGACGGGCCTGGTGGTGCTGTGAGGACTTAATTCCTGTGGTGTCTGTGGAGTCGCATTAGCATCTGAACTTTTTGGTGCTTTTGTTAGTTTCGAGTTAGTAGTAAGTTAATTTTGCTAAGTTGGTTTTTTCTTTGTTGGCAGTATGGGGTTTGTACTGCAGGTCTCATGCTGCCTGGGAAGTGCTCTTCTGTTGAGCCACAGGTCTTCGTCCTTTTTACACCTTTTTCTTTTTGATCAGTTGTAGGGCTTGAACTCTGGGCCTGGGCGCTGTCCCTCAGCTCTTCAGCTCAAGATGAGAGCTCTACCACTTGAGCCACAGCGCCACTTCCGGTTTTCTGGTGGTTAATTGGTGATAAGAGTCTCTCGGACTGCCTGGGCTGGCTTTGAGCTGAGATCCTCCGATCTCAGCCTCCTGAGTAGCTAGGATGACAGACGTGTGCCCCGTGCACACTTGCTTCCTTGTCTAAGGTTGTGCAGGACCTTGTTCCTCTTATTTTTCACTCCTATTGTAGCTGAGATCACAGGTGCACACCACCATGCCCAGCTTCTTCCACTGAGATGGGAGTCTCATGAACCTTTCTGCCCAAGCTGGCCTGGAATGGTAACCCCCTTGATTTCAGCCTCCCACATGTATGCCTGGGCTGACCTGGAACTGCAGTCCCCCAGTCTTGGCCTTCCAAGTAGTAGCTAGGAATACAGCCTGAAACTTTAAGCTATCTCCCCAAACTTGCTCACAGTATGTTACAGCTATAATGTTAGATTTGTTTATCATTGGAATTAGGTAATAGTCTCATGATTGACCAACATAGATGAAAGGGATTTTACATTGGAAGCTCATAATGTCATTTCACTGCTTTTGAGGATTGTGATACATATTTGAAGCGTGATTTTAACATAGTATATGCTCTGTATAACAAAGTATCCTAATTCTTCTTTTCTTGGTTACAGTAATTTGTTAACAGAATATCAGAAGAAGTGTGATGATATCCTTTCACTGGCTTTTTCTTTTGTATTTTGCGAGTGTGCAAATGTATAATAATTAAAAGAGCTATGAAGCTTGTCTGTCCGTCATTTTTAGAGGCCATATTTATTACTGTTTATCTGCCCAAGTAAAGAACCTTCTCACATTAGACAACCAGTCATTGTGATTAATAAATCCTCACAGGAGGAAAGCATACAGTCTCCTTTGTTTCTTTACTGTATCTCAGGAGCTTTTTAAGAACATGTCTCACTGGTGCTGAGAGTGTGCCATCTCACAATGTGTGTTTAGCTCTAGGAATCGTTGTTGCTGCATTGGGTCTTGCTGAGTATTTGTGTTGAATATGCACAGTGTATACTGTGAGGACACTTAAAGTGTGGGAAATTGACTTAATTATTTCTGTGACTTGCAGAGAACAAATGCATATGCCCAAAATTATAGAAATGATGTGATTTTATGTTGATAAGACAGTTCCTGTATACTTACCAGATACTGTTTGGGCTTTGAGACATAGCATTGGGAGAATGCCTGCAGGAAAGTCAGCTCTAGGCAAATAGTTACTCAAGTGCATACAGATGATCCTCCCATATATTTTGGTGGTAACCCTTGATTTGAAATCTCTCCATCAAAATAGACATCTCTGTTTGACTGTAGAGATTCCTGCAGATCCAGCGTGGTCTCCATACTGTCCTGACAGTGGAATCCTGGTCTCCTTGTCAGTGACTGGAAGCTTGCTCCAACAGTCCCTCTGGCATGTCTGAACTTACACGTGACCACCAGTTACTTAAGTGTGATCATGCCATATCTAATTTGCATGGGCAGAATAATAAAATCATATCATTGCCCAGATTTACTTTTAGTATCTGGAGTTATTTGAAAAATAGAAATCATTATTAATTTTATGTTTTATTTGTTAAAATAGCAGTAATTTAAGTACAAATGCATGCTATTACAGGACTCATAGCTTCAGTTGTAAAATTATGCAGCATGTTACAACTACGTTTAGATAACTAAACAGGAAAATTGATTGACTGGTCAAATTTTAGGAGAGCATGTGTTCATTATGTCATTGGGGAAAAATGGTGTAAACATTTTGAGTTAATTATTCACAAATCTAGTAAGGAAAATGTTGGTTTACTCTTGTAGTCTTTTTCTACCAAATGCTAAAATGAAAATTAGAATAATTCTAAGCAGATACAGTCTTCATATTAGTTTTGAATTATAGAAATTTGTTCTGTGATTTGATGTATGGGGCTAGTGTCAGCATATAAATATTTATTTGTTTAGATAGCTTTGGCATTGGCCCACATAGGTATTAGTTAGACCTCAAAATGCAGTGCTGTGGCCTACAGTGTGGTGCTCGTGCTGCAGTTCAGTATGGCTTTCTCATCTGATTTGATTCCTTTGCTACTGAAGTACGGATAGGTTTTTCAGTGAGTTTACTATGGCAATTAACATTATTTCAACTCTGTATAATTCTAACCATTTTATTTATTACTCCTTTCTAAAGGGCAGGAAGTATTGAACTTTTATTCTGCAAAACTACAGTAATTACTGAAAAACAAAAATGTGCTTCTTAGCTTTGAGCTTACATTGTAAAATAGAAAGCTGTGGGGATGTTTTCATAAACATGATTTTCTTTACTGTTATATAAATTTGAATGCTTAAAAATGAAAGACAAGAATTATGTTTAGGTATTTTAGAATATTTGAGACTCATGATATGGGAAAATAAGGTTACCAGATTGCAGAAATTATAAAATGATAGCTGATATAGATTCTATGTTCTGTTTGTATTTCCTTTCTAATGTTCATTAAGTGTAGGTGTACATGCTTTTTTGTAAGAGCATGACCCCTTTGCACAGGTGTTATTTTTGTACTGCTTGAGAAATGAAGTTCAGGTTTTTGGGGAGATCTATCAGTCATCTGTCTTCTAGCTGCAGATTGATTTGTCTTATAGTGTAATTTTAACCCAGTCTTCTATTTGTTCAAATAGATATCTTTACTTCGGGTGGCAAGATAGAATCTCAAATAGAGTCGACCTTTGTGATCTTTCCTGTATGAATATAAACATAGATTATTAAAGTAGTAAAACAAATTTTATTCCAAACAAGTATCAGGAGATAAATTTCTTCAAGTTTTCTTTAACAAGTTTTACAGCTGCAGTTTGCTCGAAGGTGAGTGACCTTATCTTCATAATGGATGATGCCCCTGTTTGAGTTCTTAGTTAAAAGTAGACATGTCAGGCCAAATGTTTAAATGGGCTTTAATGAAATCTTCATAGCGTCAATGTTGTTTTTGTTATACCATTCCAATGAATTTGTTACTTAGGGCTTAAATTACAGCCTGTGTTTTACTTCTCAATAACTTGTAGTTATTGCATTGCTACTTTAACGAAGCTTTACTCTCATTACTATTATCTACATGGATCAAAGGTTTGATGTTTATTTATTTATTTAATGATAGTGGGGATTGAACTCAAGACTTTATCATGCTTGCCAGATAAATGTTATGCCACTTGAGCCACAAGTTCCAGTCAGATTTTGGCAATGTTTTATACTCTGATTACATTTATTACTTAGAATAAGGTAGAATGTGGTTATACTCCAAGCAGAATTGTACCTGGCTGAATCCTAATTATATCATAAAGCGATGAAGTTCAGTGTTGACATTACCAGGTCATTAGCAGTCTTCAGGGTGTCACCAGCACATGGTGAGATATGGTATTTGTTTTCAGGATGCTTTTTGATTTGCTTAGTCTATTATGTAGAAGAACTAAAATCATGAAGAAATTTTTTAATGTAAGTAGAAGGAATGAATTTCAAAAGAAAAAATTTTAATTCTTTTTTGTTCCAAGTTGTTAATCTCACATTGCGTGCGTGCGTGCGTGCGTGTGTGTGTATTTTTTGTTGTTGTTATTGTTGTTTGTTTTTGGTGCCAGAAGTAGGGCTTGAACCCAGGATGTAGGTGCTGATCCTTAGTTTTGTTACACAGGGTGGTACTTTATCACTTGAGCCATAGCTCTACTTAGGTTGTTTTGTTTTGTTTTGTTTTTGTTGGTTAATTAGAAATGAGAGTCTCATGGGGTTTTTTTGCTCTGGCAGAATTTCTTAGATTGGCAATTATATCTTGGCCCCCTAACTAGCTAGGATTAAAGGTTTGAGCCATCAAACCTTGAGGCATCAGCATACCAGTGTATATTTTTAATAACTCACTGTGGGGACTTTCACATAAGGGGTGTTAATACTGTGTTGTCCATTTGTAGAGAGAACAGTACTTTGCATCACCAAGTGGAGCAGATGCTCCAGAAGATTTCTCCTCTGCAGAAATGCCAGGAAGAGTTGGGGTCATTGAAAGCAGAGCTAGAAGAGAAGAAGGTACCAGGCATCGTTTTCTTAAGAGTCTATTATCAGTAAATGAGAGTCACTCCACACACACTGGAATTGAATCACAGGGGCTTTTAACATGTTAACAAAGGAGATAAGTGTTCATTAGAACTCTCTAACTCTATCACTGTGTGTAGGGAACCTGGGAGGAGTTGATAATTGGCTTGACAGTGATTATTAGCTCTCTAATACTGGGACCATAGTTTGGGGGAGGATTAGTAGCTGTGATGTTTTATGCCTTTTGTCACATTTTCCTTGCCTTACATGGGAAATACCAAACAAAACTCCAGACAATAGAGGTAGAGAGTGATGGTATTTGACAGTGTAGAATGCATTTGATTCCTTCAGTAATTCTGGTCTGGTAGTGAAACATCAGAGTCTTTGCTCTAACCTAACTACAAATGTCCTTTGAGGAACTACTGTCCTCATTCATGAACCAATGTTTTAAACAATTAGTTTATTTGATCCTTTATAGTTTCTCATTGTCCATGAAAAGCACAAAAATACGAGTCTTTAAATAACATATCCCTTGCTATTATAGGTAAGTGCTCAAGTTAAGTTCATGTCATGTCCTTTCATTGATTTTTTTCGATAGGTGGTATTGGGTGAAGACACTACTTTGCCTATAAAATTTTGATAAATTTATTCTGTAATAAATAAGGTTATTTTTCTTTCCAGTATTTAGTGCCTGGAAAAGAGGTTAACGTGCTGTGCAGTTGCTTTTTCTGTATCAGTTTTGACTGACTTTCTTCTGTGTCCAGGTTGGGAACGTTTGTCCCACGGCCTGTGAAAAGCATGCACAATCACTTGATAACTGATAGGACAGACAAGTTTTCTGCTGTGATCGTCTGCCCATATTGGCAGCTTTATATGGCCAAGAACGATGTAAATATCCAAAAGTCCTTAGCAGAAGAACGATTCTTCACCTCTGTTTTATAGAACTCTTCGAAGGGAGTTCATTGCTTTCCTAGATAACTGTGAAATCGTAGGGGTAGGATTTGCACAGAAAGGTTACTTACTTAGCTTGCCTAGCCCAACTCGTGCCTCCCAGCCTGCTCTGTTGGGCTTTCCACAAAGTATTTGGACTTCCTGGTCTTCCTCACATTGGCTATTATCAGTTTGAAGTCTTGTGTACCCAAACAGTTGTTTGCCAGTTCTAGAGCTTGAACCTCAGGGCTTAGGTGCTGTCCCTGAGCCTCTTTGTGCTCAAGTCTAGCATTCTATCCCTTGAGCCACAACTCTGCTTCTGACTTTTTTCTGCATAGTTTATTGGACACAAGAGTCTCATAGACTTTCTTTGCCCATGCTGTTTTTGAACCGTGATCCTCACATCTCAGCCTCCTGAATAGCTGGGATTATAGGCATGAGCCACCGGCACCTGGCTTGTTTTCTTATTATCATAGACAGACTTGGTTTGTTGGATTATGCAGTAAAAGTTGAACTGAAATGATCATGACTTTCAGTTCTATCCGTCCTTCATATAAGCTCTTTAGCAATAGTAGAGAGAAAATGTGAACGTTGAGGAAGACTTCAGTGATTCAATGATAAACCCTAATTAGGCTCTCAGTGAGAGCGTCTTTGAAAGAATAAGTCATCCTGTCAAAATGTCATACACCGCATGTGGGTGATAAATTGTTGAGGTTAGATAGTAGTCCAGTGCGTGCTACGAGTAACCTCGGCTGTCCTCTGAGGCTTACCAGCAGGGGCTTTCCCAGCCTGTGGGCCCATCCAGCTGTGGACCCACACATTTGCACTTAATGATTTTCCAGTTCCATAGTGTTAGTTCTGACCACTAATTCTATGCTCTTTCTTCAGGTTATATTGAATTTTAATTGGTAATGGTAAAAGTGTGAATTATTTGATACTCATACCAATTATAATGACAGTTTCAAATTGACTTAAAATAGTATATTGTTTTAAGTTTTATAGCTGTGTTTGGTTATATTATACATTATGTTAGATTCATCTGTCACGAATCTGGTTACATTCATGAAAATGTTCAGTAAGTTGTACTTTGGTTTCTTGCCAAATAGGTATTTCTTTAGTTAATTTTATACTAATAAAACAGCTTATCAAGGTCAGTGACTTTAACTTGGACAATATTTTTTTTTTTAAGAGTTCTCTAAAGTTATATCAGGCTTCTCACCAGGAATATGCTCGTGTGAAAGAAGAATGCTTAAAAAGCGATGCCCAGTAAGTAATTTTTAAATTACTATATAACTAGTTTCATTTTTGAAACAAGATAACCTATAACCAATAGTATTTCTTCTTTTTCTCTGTCTTTAGTTCTGTTGACCATAATGAACTGTGTGACCCTAAACTAATCTTACACCTTTAATTTCCACCCAAGGACATGAGTCAGACCTATGTTAAAGAATGTAAAACACAGTTCTGGGCCCCTTCCTGTGTGCTGCTATGTAACAGATGTCATCTGTTACAAGAGCGCATCTGTGGGATGGGTAACTTTGTTACCAGGAATGAAAGGGCTATGGAGAGCATCTTCTCCTTGTTTTGAGATTTGATATCATGTTCACATTATTTATGTGGCAGACCTCAAGCTATACACACACAGTTTACTATGAGGTAATGGGACAGTAATGCAGTTCTTTCTTAGTGAGTTACCTGACTTCCCTGAGCTCAGAAATCCATCTTGAACAGATGACCGAGCTTGTGGGGCTGTCACAGATGTGTTTCTGGCAAAGCCTGGGGTAGATCCATATAGTGCACATTTCATATGCTGAAGGAATGTTTTAAAGCCATTTTAGAAATTGTGCCCTCAAAATGGCACAGTGTTGTACAGCATTCTGTCTTGGCTTATTCTGCTCTCCAAAGACTTGATGGCAATGCTAGGCAGTCACATGTGATGCCAATTGTGACTAAAATTTTGTTATACAAATCTTCCTAATTAGAATTAAGAATTATAGTACATGTTTTTGTTATGCTTTGTTTGCCATTTAACTTATAACACTTGATTACTAGGAAGAAGAAGCTAGAAGCTAAAGTGAAGAAGCTGGAAGGTAAGTAGCACTATTCCTACTGGGTAAATGAAAACCCTTGGCCATACAAATCCTTGGTGACAAAGGTTGTAGAGCTTGCCCAAATGGTTGAGTTTGTGGATTTTGATGATACAGACCTGCACAACTGTATCCAAGAATCTGTGAGGAAGCAGGTATGTACATTCCTCTGTTCTCTGTTGTCAGATCAGTACATGGAGATGGAAGATAGTCTCAGAAAGGTTATTGTTCTCAGAAGAGTAACAGACAATTCTTATGCTATTAAAAAAGCAGTAATTATCTGAGTACCAGGGGCTCGTGCCTGTGACTCTGCTTGGGAGGTTGAGATCAGGAAGATCAGGGTTCTAGGCCAGCCTGGGCATAACTGTGAGACTATCTTATCAAAAGATAGAGTGATACACTCCTGTTGTCTTAGCTTTTGTGGGGAATGAAAAAAAAAGGGGAATATAGTTCAGGAGCATGCCTGGGCAGGAACTGAGACCGTATTTCAAATAGAACTGGGGCAAGCTGGACAGTAGTGTTTTGTGCCTGTGAACTACACAGGAGGCTGAGAGCTGAGGATCATGGTTTGGAGCTGGTCTCAGCAGGAAAATCCATGAGATTCTGCTATCCAGTTAACTAGCACAAAACTGGAGATGGAGCGGTGGCTCCTGTGGTAGAACTTCAGCTGTTAGCAGAAAGCTGAGTGAGAACCAGAGCCCTGAGTACCAGCACGCATGTGTGCACGCACACACAGATAATGAAATAATTAGTGTGAAAAAGGATCTGAGCAGTAGTGTGCTTGCCTGGTGAGTGTGAGTACCACAGAGGGGAAAAGCAGGAATTATTGAAAATGGTTTAACTTGGATTGAATCATATTGAGAACTTCATATTTTCTTAGTAAATGATACTAGAAAGAGTATTATTTTTAGTATAAAAAATGACTACTTTTAGTGTCAAAGACACCGGTAGAGAACTTTTTATGATTGTTTTTTATTGGGAGTTGTCTGATATCCCATCTTCTCCCCCTTCACAACCTTTTGCTAGGGGCTTCTAGCCTCAACAAGTAGGCAGAGTGTAGAAGGACCCCAGAAATCTACCTCATCCTCAGTTCACAGACTCAAAGTTGTTTTGTTTGCTTTTTATTTGCCATCAGTCACGGTGTGGTTGCACCTGGACAGAACATCCAGTAGCAGGAGGTGGGGTTGGCATTCCCACTGTGCATGCGTCTTCCTTTAATTCCCGTGGACCTCAGCAGTTACCTCATCTGCCTCACGTTAATTGTGCCCAGCTCCAGACATGGCGTCTGTAGTGTGGAGCGTGGGCTTCAGAGTGGTTGGGGTAGGCTCTACAGAGGGGTCATTCCTGAAAGCATTCCCAGCCACTCATTTATCTAGGGTCAGATATATGTTAGACTGCAACTCTAGAAATGTTCCAACATCATCCTTGCACAGACATGGACAGAAGACATAAAGAGCAACATTCCAGTGCTCTAGGTCTTGCCTTCTGCTTGTATGTGCAGGTTTGTTTTTAAGGAAATACTGTTAGAAACCCGTAATGCCTGTGCACCTTGGAGAAGAGCTGTTCTATGAAGCAAAATGTAGCCTTTGTTTTTCACATAACATATTTTTTCCCAGAAGATGATATGGCCTAATAATTGTTGTCCAACAAATACTTGCACATTAGAGGAGTGAGTTACTGCAGCACTGGGGTCTCCGTTTCCCCAGCTTTGTATCTGAACAGACCCCTATGTGAAGTTGGCACGGATCAGATTCTTGGAAGTGTGCACACTCTGGCACTTGGGACCACAATTGGAATACACAGTTTGCTAATGATCCAGACGATAAAAGTACTTAATGAGTCCATCTCTAATCAAAGCACGAGGCAGGGAATTCCAGGAATAGGTAGCAATAGCTACAGTAGCATTAAGAAGGTTGTCTCCTGATTACCAGTTAGTGTGATTGGGTCTAACTAACTAATCCTGGGACCCGATTGCTATTCTAACATCCGAGATTATTGCTGGTTGTTGAATTCAGAAAACCCAGAGATGAAACACCATCTTCCCCTTAAATGTGGTTTCTTATGAGTGGGAGGGATTGAAATTGCTTTGGTTGGTTTGGGGGAAAAAAATATGGTCTCCCTCAATATCATAATTAATACACAGTTTTATGTAAAACAAAAGGCTTTCCTACATTTAACTTTAGTGAAATACTTGCAGTCCTTAGCAATACAGGGAAGGACAGGAAGGAAGAATGCACCCAGGTTGCCTAGGCATAAAGAGACCTTATCTCAGAAATAGCCAAGAGTTTCTAAAAGGGACTGGAGGCTTGCCTGAAGTGGTAGAGTGCCTGTCTTGCAAGTTCAAGGCCCTGGGTTCAGGCCCCAGAACTGAGCTGTGGGGGGGAGGGAATGAGAGAAGTTTGTAGAATAGATTTTGAGTAGTCCATTAACCCTGTAGTAAAGTTACCACTTTATTTTCCTGTTGCCTAATGCACTTTTTAAATACAGAGGCTGCTATCAAGCAAACTCAAGACTTCAAGCAACTAAGAATTGAAAAGAAGATCCTGGAGAAGGAATTTAAGAAGACCCAGGTATTACATAAACCAGCGCCCACCAGTGAAATTCTGTCCTCTGTCCTCCTGGAGTTGCTCTATGTTGTGAATGCCAGAGCCAGGCTGCTGTTCATTGCCACAGTCCCGGCGACCTGCTGAGGTGCACCTGGCTTGTGTTTGGGCCCATGTCTGTACTCAGCTGTCCAGAATTAAACATTCAGCCTCTGTTTCCTCCTTCTCCCACAGGAAAGGCTTGACGAGTTTTCTAAACAGAAAAATGAAAAGGGTAAGTATTCCTTCAAAGCTCACTAAACATTTCTGTTTCATTCCGCAGTGTTTTTTAAACTATTTTCCTCCACGTTTGTAGGGTTGAGACATATTGGAACACAAATTTCAAGTGATTCATATGGAAGCATAGATAAGAGTGAGTATATTTGAACTTTTATTTGCTACATTTAGTGGTTTTGGAGTCTGTGTGTTGCTCTTTCGCATGACTGTGAAAATGCCAGAGTTCAATAGATCTTTCATGTTAGATGAAGTCGTATATGCTTTTGTGTGCTAATTTCATGTGCGTTTTATTTTATATACACACACAAACACAGAAATTCACTGTATTATTATTACAGTGAACTAAAGAGTTCACAAAAGAACGTAGTTTGTTTGGGAAAGGAAAAGTAGAGATAACTTTCAGACCTTTCAATAAGAATAGATTGTCTCTGTAGGTTACATTTTATTACACTAATTTAAATCAAATTTCCTCAATGCCTAATTTATAAGCAATGTTAAAAGTCAGGAAAACTAGAATCAAAGGCCTGCAGTGTATTTTAAAAGTTCTAGGGAGGTCTGAGAAAAATAAACTAGAAATCTTGGAGCCAGGGAAGTAAGTACTCTCCTGTTATTGAATGACAGTGACCGTGTGGGTACTTGGAGATCCTTACGGATCACAGTGGGAGACTGTGGCCTTCATTTGGTGCTTGTTTGACCCTTGGCCATTTGCTTTTTTTGCTTTCCACTTTAGAAATGGTAATTATGAACTTGAATTTCTTTTAGGGGCACAAAATTGAAATGCTTCACTAGCAAATGATGATATTTTCACCTAGCTAAGACAGTGCTTTTTTTCAAGCATATACGATTAAAACCCTTAAGTGTTTTTTGGCCCAAGTATGTAGTATATCTTGAGAAGTTAGTTGCCCTTTTTTTCCTCCTTGAATTTAGAGAGATAGTTTTTCTTAATTGAGATTAAAATAAGCTTGTGTTTTTCTTGGATTAGGACTTTGGCTAGTTCACACTCCTCGAGGTGAGGCACTGGTATCGTCGTGCCACTGACACTGATGGTCGTACCACAGCCATCTTTTTAGTGTCTGTAGGAAGGGAGGCTGACAATCTGCGGTCCCTGGAGGAAGAGGACCTTTGGTAGTACTTCACTTTCCAGATAGCAGTCCACAGTTAGCTTAGCTTTTCTCACAAGAGCAGCAGAATTGCTTTAGGTCTCACTGTTTAAAGCAGGGTCCTCTACCTCCCCCAGGTAGCTATTCTTTATCCTTATATTCTGCCTTTCTTGTTTTCAATGAACTTGGTGTCTCAAGTGAAATGAATGATGATGGCTTGAATATTGTCTTGTATATTTGATTTTTTCAAGAAAATAAATACATGAAGTCAGCTCTAGACCTGACACATTTAATTCTCAACTCTAAACTGTCTCCTTAATGCTTTTTCCTGTTACTGCTTGACTTTGAAAGAAATGAGCAAATTTGGCACTGAGGAGTATTGAGTTGACTTTCCTTTCAAATCCCAAGAAAAATGACCCAAATAACAAATCACTCTCCAGATGACAAGATGGTGACCACCTATAATCCCAGCACTGGGAAGACTCAGGCAGGGAAATCATTATACAAGCTCAGCCTACCTATAGAGAAACTTTCAAATAAGTAAGCAGCTTTCCTGGATAGTTCCAAGCGAGCCATCAGTAGAGGAAATTAATGAGGAAGATAGAAATCAGGTAGTGCAAAGAAAGTGGCACCCCTCACCAAGCAAGGTCCCAGGTCAGATAGCTGGTGTATGCAGGGCAGCACACCAGCACTTCCAGGTCAGGGACAGATGTGTGCAGGGCAGCACACCAGCACTTCCAGGTCAGGGGCAGATGTGGGCAGGGCAGCACACCAGCACTTCCAGGTCAGGGGCAGGTGTGGGCAGGGCAGCACACCAGCACTTCCTGGTCAGGGGCAGGTGTGGGCAGGGCAGCACACCAGCACTTCCTGGTCAGGGCAGATGTGGGCAGGGCAGCACACCAGCACTTCCAGTTTGGGGCAGGTATGTAGGGCAGGACAGCAGCACTTCCGGGTCAGGGGGCAGATGTCTTCAGGGCAGCACAGCAACACTTGCGGGTCAGGGCAGATGTGGGCAGGGCAGCACAGCAGCACTTCCGGGTCAGGGGGCAGTGTGGGCAGGGCAGCACACTAGCACTTCCGGGTCAGGGGCAGGTGTGGGCAGGGCAGCACAGCAGCAGTTCCCAGATGACTGATTAAAAGGTGAGAGTATGTCCCACAAGTTCTTTTTCTTCTGTACTTACCTGTGACATGACCTAAAACCAAGTGAAGCAGCAGGACTGGGGAAGAGTAGGTCAGGATATTCCAGCAGTGGTAAAGTGAGAACAGGAAGGCACATCACACTCTTAGTGATTTTCAAGCCCAGACACACCTTTACATGGACAGAGAAGGTATATGGAAAATGTGAGGGCAACTTGGTTTTGGTATCTGTCATCCCATTGATTACAACATTAATTTGGTGGGTATCGTTCTCTCTCTTCATCCCAATCTGTGTCCCTCCCAAATTTGTGCTCTGGGTTTTAGAGGATGATGTCCTCTGATCTCAGATGAGCATTTGTTGGTGAAGAGAGTACAGGTCATCTCAAAGAGAATGTTGAGGTTGAAAGTTACAATTCATGAACGAAGCATATGAAACCATGCCAAACAAAACCTCTTGATCATCCGAGGGTGAAAATGGACCATTTCTTCACAAAGAATGCCAGTGTTTTTAGAAGAAATAAGAGCTAGAACTGGATCCATAGTTGCCTGGGACGTGTTTAGAAATGAAATCTTTAAGATGTTTTCAAATGCTTATAATTTTTGCCTAATGTACAACAAAAATCTCAAATATGATGAGGTAATAATAAAACCCTCCTCTCTACTTCCCTAAGTGAGGGAGGTAGGAAAGCAAAGCTGCGAGACTGTGCAGCATCTTTCCAGTCCTCTGGCAGCAGTGCTGAGCCGTGGTGCTAGCCTGGTGGCCCCAGAGCACTCCCAGAGATTCCCACGCCAGCCACCCTACAAACGCCACCTTCAGATGACACAGGCTGTTAATCTAGAACATGTCCACATAGACTCAGAATAGTTGTTGGATTTTGAACAGAAAATAACTCAGAAGAAAATTTTGTAAGAATAAAGTTCTGATGCTGTAATAGATCATGTGATTTATGGGGGATTGTTCTGAAGCCTTTCTTCAGTATTCGTTTACTGGTTTAGAACTTAAGAAGAAAACTTGGAATGTGTTCATTCTGTTTCCTTAGCCTCCCAACACCGCAGCAAAACCAAACGAGGGCCACTCTGGTACAGCTGCAGAAGTTCTAAGTCATGTTACAGAAAATGAGAGTGATGTGCAGCTACCTTTTTCAGACCCCTCTGTTATAACACCTAAGCATGAACTATTTAAAATATAAAGTGATTAAATTGCATTTAAAATACGAATTGTGATTATTCTCAGGAACATGAGAACTGATTCAAAGAGTATTGTTTGTCTCAGTTCAACACCTGTTTCTAACTAAGAAATAATGATGTGATGAGATGAAAGAGTGTAACCTTGAGAATGATGAGGGCTTGCTCTCAGAAACAAGGCAGGGACGGTTTTAGTTACTGCCATCCTTTATGCGTAAATGCATGCTTAGGCACTGCAAATACCAAGTCAGAGGCCAAGTCGCCATTATTCATTCCGCCCAAAAGACTCCGCTGGAAACAGCATCAGATGTGCCACAGCACATGTGTTTCCTATGTGCATGCCTGTGTACCGCATGCCGTTTCAGACATGACCATTCTCCAGTGATTATTGGAGCATTAAGTTTCTAGGAGAAGGCCCAGACAGCTTGCAGTGCCCCTAGGAGGAAAGCCAAAATGTGCTGAAGGTGCAAAAGGAAGACCTGAACACAGTATTACATTTCCTCACAGTATTCCCCACAGTATTAGATGCCCCTCTTGCCTGAACATAGCTGTGACAAGATAGTCTCACTGGAAATCCCAGTAGAAGGGCAAACAGTTGGTGAAGATTTATCAGGAGAATAGAGATTCAGAATAATAAGAGGAAAAAACTCAGCTGGGCCTCTTGCTTTCATACCATAGTTATACATCTTTCATCACTAAACAAATGTGTAATTGATATGGAAGTTGATAGTGCAGTGGAGAGGAAAGGCCCCGAAGTAATCATAAGTGCCTTAAATGTTGATAATGGAAGCTTTAAAAGAAGTTAAAAGTTGTATGATAGTGGTTGACTGAGGTTTTACCTTCACAACCAAGTACTGAACCCATTCAGGGTTTGTTTTTGTTTGTTTGTTTGCTGTGTCCGGGATGGATAGCTTGGTGTGGGGGCGTCAGACTAGATGTAACGAGTGGGTGGTCTTTTAGAAGGCATAAGGCTGGTTATTAGTCTCCATGAGAATGGAAAAGTAACTTTTTTTCTTTTTTTTTAAGGTTCCCTGTTTGCTGCTTTGGGTATACATAATAAGCAGGGATCCTGGTCAGGTCATTTAAGCAAAAGGGATTACAGTGTTTGGAAGCTTTGGGTAGGTTAAATCACGATGTAGATAAGCTGCTCAATCGTGGAATTTTGGAATTCAAAGTCTTGGAACCTCACACACAGAAATGCCAGGTGGACTGCGCAACAGGAGAGGCTGCTTAGACTCATTCAGTAACTGTGTCCCCGTGTTTCCTATCCCCTTTCTGTGGACTTCACTTTTGGAGCGACTTAGTTTGCCATTTTAAGTAAGACTATCTCAAAACCTGTAATTGATTCCTGGGAATAATTATTTTGGTGTAAGAGATTAGTCTTTTCGTCTCTGAACTGGCTGAAAACTTTTGCTGCTTTCAACAAATGTTCAAATTTAGAAACTTAAGCTTAAGGAACTTTAAACCTTGACATGGTCTGAAATTACCTAATACTTAATTTATTTTTAGTTGAATTTTAATTAGTTTGGTTGCTTTTCTATGCATACTTTACCATAAGATGTTGTTATGTATATTTTTATGAGTATTTTCTGGTTTTGAAGGTATGTTTGGAATTTGTGTACTAACTAAATTTAAAAGCTTGACTTATAATCTTAGACTAATTTCATTAGGGCAGTCGTGTTGTACTTCTAGTGACCTTTCAGCTTGAATCGTGGCTCTTCCTATTTTAGGAAAATAGACACCTTTGAAGATGGATACAGATTTGAAAGGTTTTATGTATGAAAGCATGTGCTTCTGTTTGTTTTCGCACGTGTGTGTGTGTGTGTGTCTATACTTACGCACCTGCTCCTACATACACACGTTCTGGCCCATGCTCCCCAGAATCCATGGGTCGCTACGACAGTCCCTGACCCCTCTTCCCAACCCGTTTCCCTACAGCATGGCCGTGATCTGTAGCCTTTCCATCCATGGGACCCTTCTCTGCCGTTCGTGTGGCGTATCTGCAGCCCCAGACTCTTACATTGCTGTACCACGGACTTGTCTCTGTCTCTGTCTGTCTCAGAGCTCTCTGCAGGAAATGCATGGGCTAAGAATTTATTTGTGCAATGCAGAATCTTCAACAAGTAGATTGGATCAAGTCTTATGCCTACCCACCTCCTCCAAGATATAAGAAAACCAATATTTAGTGATTTTTTTTAAACAAAAGCATTGTAGATGTTTCTACCAGTTATAAGCTACTTGTACACAATGACTGAGTTTGGTGAGTCCCTATTAATGCTGTTTCACAGGAATGTATTTGGACCCAGATGAGTTCACCCAGTTGGCATGATGTTAATATGTTGCTCTTTCACAGGAAAAGTAAAACTGCTCCTGAAGGAACTCTGGCTGTGTGTGAACACAGCACACAGGCTCCCCGGTGACATCGGCAGGCACACTCCAGGTGAGATGGGCTTACTTACACAGAAATGGGGAAGTTCACAAGCCAGGTGCAAAGGTTCAGTCCTGAAGTCCCAGCCATGTGGGACATTGAGAAGGTAGTGGTGCCAGCATAGCCAGGGGGAGAAAAATTGCAAGACGGGTATTTCAAGAGAAAAGGCTAGGTACCGGAGGCAGGGATTGAGAGATCACAGTCTGGGGCTAGTCCTGGCTCAAAAGACTGTGAGACTCTGTCTCAACCAGTGGCCAGGCACAGTGGCAAACACCTATTATCCCACCTCCATGAGGAAGCACAAATAGGATCCCAGTCCAGCTGACCTGGGCAAACAGTTGTTTACCTAAAAATTAATCCATAAAATAAGACTAGCAGAAGTGATCAAGTGGTAGAATGCCTGTCTAGCAAACTTGAGGCCCTGAGTGTAAACTGCAGTACTTAATTTAAAAAAAAGAAGGGAGGTAATGGAAGCAAAATACAGTTGAACATGTGAACGCATAATTGGAATTGTAGCCATGGCAGAAAGTGTTCATGTTAATGGGAGGATTGTGGTCTACACAGCCTGGACAGAAAGTGAGACCTTGTTTCAAAACTAACCAGTAAAAGGGTTAAAAAATAGCTCAAGAAGTAGACCACTGACCTAGTAGGAGCAAGCCCTGTGAGTTCAACCCCAGTACCACCCTTACCCCCTGTGCTTTTGGGTTTTTGTTGTTTTTTTTTTGGTCAGTCGTGGGGCTTGAACTCTGGACTTGGGCGCTGTCCCTCAGCTCTTCAGCTCAAGGCTAGCGCTCTACCGCTTGAGCCACAGCGCCACTTCCGGTTTTCTAGTGGTTTTATTGGAGATAAGAGTCTCACGGACTTTCCTGCCCGGGCTGGCTTTGAACCGTGATCCTCAGATCTCAGCCTCCTGAGTAGCTAGAATTACAGAGGTGAGCCACCAGTGCCGGGCTGCTTTTGGTTTTTTAATATTCCATGAATCTTAACAATGAAAGACTGAAATAAATGAATGAGTGCTCTTGTTTATACACAGTTTCTTCCCTTGATTATGATTGACTACCAGAAGATACATTTAACTTTTAATTTTTAGTATCTTTCATCAAAGAACATTCGGAAAATCTGGGCAACGACCAGGTGTGTCTGGCAGGTATATGTACAAGATGGAAGGGTGCACTGTGTTTTTAAATCATTTCATGAGATTGATCCACTAGAAAGCTTATTTCTGACCATTTATGAGTTCCTCTCAACTCTTTATTTGCAGAAAGATGTCCTGGAGACATTCTGCCATGTTCTCAATCTACTCAGGATTTCAGATTTGGAAATAAGTAATAGCCCTTCCTAAAAAAGGGAAGAAAGTAGCTGACTTGTGGAAGATTAAAGTGATTGTAATCAGGTTTTTATTATTTTATTTCTTAAGTTCTGATTAATAGAGCTAAGTGATACAAATGTGCATCTGACTCTCCTCCTAGGTTTCTGTAGACAGTTTTGTCCAGAATGGTAATGGGCAAGTTGCCGATTCTTTTTACTGGATTCAGAACTTGCTGATGTACAGAGGCTCTCTCCGTGTGGCTCTTTTGAATCAATTTCTCTCAATTCGCTTTCTGAATAATAATCTTGACAGCAGACAGGTGAAAGCTGCAAGTCCTAAGTTAGTCTCTGGAGTTTAAAACATATCTAGTTAGGCCGGGGCTGCCTAGGGATTCTTTTCAGCCTTCTGTACTAATAAGTAATCATATTTGATACACTTTACACTTTTAATATGTTAGTGAAGTGAGTTTCTTCATTTAATAATCTGATGTTTTCATTTAAAAACACCCTTTTAAGGATATGTCTATTCTGTTATCTTTCCCAAGGTAGAAGGAAAAACATGGCAAGTTTAGAGTCTTCTTATATCTTAAAATATATTATTTTTTCCTCCATGCACTGGTGGATCACTTGTAATCGTAACTACTCAGAAGGCTGAAAACCAGAGAATCACAGCTTGTGGCTGGCATAGTAGAGAAGTTTCTAGAATCTATCTACAGAATAATCAGAAACGCAAGGACTGGGAATGTAGCGGAACAGCAAATCAGTAAGAACAAGGCCCTGAATTCAGCCCCAGTGCTTCTAAAAGTACACACACGCGCACGCGCACTCACACACACATGCATATGTTTTTCTAAATGTTGTGATCATATCAGAAGAGTTACAGATCAGTGTAGAGAATCCCTTTACCATCTCAACTCGGATTTTCCATTACCAGAGATCAAAGCTGGAGTATTTGGTATAATCTTGTGAACTGAACTCTAGAGCTCTTGTGATTTGCACAGGTTTTCCCACTCAAGTCCTCTCCCCTTCGGGAGTCCAGTCGTAGCCTGGAATCATCTTGCTTTCATTTCCTGCTCAGTGGCTGACAGTTTGCTTTCGTCACTGTTCATGTCTCTGACCTCGTAGTGTGTACTTTATAGAAAGCTGATGGTTTTGGCATGCCGGACCTCAGTGGGAGTGTCTCCCTGTGCTCAGGGCACTGAGCTGCAGGAGTGTGGATGTGCATTATTAGACTGCCACCACCGAATCAAGAATTCCTAAGTGGATCTTACTGCCACGATTGCTGCTCGAGTATTTGTCCAGTAGTGATTTTTATACGTGTCATTTTTTTCTTCATTTATTTACTAGAATTCTTACATAAGGAAATGTTGTTGGTCCTCCAATCATTATTTGTTCTTTTATCTATTTGTGTATATCAATGTTGTTGCTCAGATAATTATTCTGTACCTTACAGTTCAGTTCTCTCCATGTTTGGTTGGTGATGGTGGTCATCTTAAGGGTAGATCCTATGCCCCTTGGTACACTCCATTCTGTGTGGAGTGCTCATGTTTGGCACTGCAAGATGTTTTCTGTCTTAAATTGAATCTTCTTTTAATATTCCATGAATATTAGCCTTATAACCCCATGTTTCCAGAGAGCTCTGTTGTTCTATAAAATACTCTTAAAACACTTTACAATGTAAGCAGAGATTCATGAAGATTTGCAGGGACCCACAAATCTTTGCAGATAATCATTACCAAAGTCAGATTCCTAAAAAGCTTCTCTAGTAACCTTTGTGTTGCCTTATCATGTGATGGGCTCACTGTTGTGCAGAAATGATCACGGACAGGCGAGATACTGGGTGACTTGAGAGAGAAGGTAGTATCTCAGCTTGTGTGCACAGAATGGATTCCCTGTCACATTTTCCTGTTGAACGGAAAATTCCATGTAGAGCCTGAATGAGTTGGCAAGGCCCTTACCCACTGCGTGGTGAGGAATGTGGTCTCGTCAGCCCGTCTGCCCTTGTCGTCAGTCAACTTCTGTGACGCTATGGGATAGTTTTAGAAACGGATCAATTGCCTTTTCAAAAAACATTTCAGCTGATTAGGACCAAATATTGCAAGCACTTTGAATTGTTAGTATGTTTCTTTTAAAAAAAAAAAGTTTTCTTGATATGATGAGTATTTAATATCTATGTATCTCCGTTCTCCTGCCCCAGAAAAACATGGCCAGGATGACAGTAGCTTCACAACATCTAGGGAGGATGACACACCGTCTCCATCACAAGGGAGTCCCTCCAGGGCCTCGGGTGTGCAAACGTGCCAGGCAGAACTGTCCATGGAGGTGGAAGAAAGCTTCGCTCCCTGTGAAAGTGTGGCAAAGCAGAGGCCCTTTGGAGCTGGGCTTGGTCCTGGCCGTGCTCCTAACGAGGTGTTAATGCGGAGTCCTGATGAAGAGGACAGGGCTGGCGCTTCTGCCCATGCTCCATTGTTTGATGAAGATCTTCAAGCTGCAATTGACTTCTTCAGACTTCCTCTTCCTCTTGTGTCTCCAGTGCCCTCTCCTCCTCTGACGTCCTCCACAAACCACCTGCGCCCCTTGCCTTCCTTGCTGGCACCTGTGAGTCAGTCCTCTGAATTTAAGTTCATTAGGTGTCTGTCTTCCATCTGTGGTCCTCCGAGGGAATATAGTGGACCGAGGCAGTTATTCATCTCAGCCAATCTTACTAGACCACAATGTAAGAAGTTAAAAAAACATCTAGTGCGCACTGGTCAGCACGTATAGTATGTCTTTTTGTTTTGTTTTGTGTTTGCATTTTTATTTGTTCTTAACCACAACTGTCTTACAAGTTTTTTGTAAGAACACTGTGTCCTTGGCTTTATCCCTAGTGCCAAGCAGTGGTAATAGGTAAAAAGTGAAGTGAGCACAGATTTGCAGGCATAGAGGTCAGTGTTAGAAGAAGCCCCAGGTATAGCCTATGTGTCATTGGCCTCTAGTAGCTGAATTCTTCACTTTCATTCAAATTCACATTTTTTTAAATTTGTGATAGGTATTTCTCAGGGGAGCAGTCTTGATGAAGCAGATTTGCAGAGCTTTTAGCTGAAGGGTCAGATAAATTTGGGATATAGCTCATATATCTGTTAGACATCAAGCTAGGCACGGGGCTGGGGCGGGGAGGCAACAAAGAATGCAGTGCCAGGATGGTTGTGTAAAGGATGGGGAGGAAGGGTGTGGATCATGGCAGCACTGCATTCGAGCCCTATGGGACTGGGAGGCACTGCAGGGGAGGAGGCCTCTTCCCGAATGGAGGCCGGTGGGGAGAGGGTGCTTCTGGAAGAGAGAGCCTCCTCACTGCACTTTAAGAGTTATGAGTATTTCTCCAGGAGCTATTAGACCTGGGGCCATCAGGCACCGGGGAAGTATTCATGCAGGCCATCCTAGAAGGGTCCTGGGTCTCTTCATAAGGAGTTAACATTTTATCTTCAGCGCAGTGGGAAATCCTAGATGAGTCCAAAGGCATAGACTGTGAGATGTTCATTTGATTGTTTCTGTTTAGTCACCTTGCAGGGTGCCTGAGTAGAGCCAGAAGGATACTCAGAAAGCAGGAAGGACCATGGCCAAGGTCGAATTTAGTATATAGTGTACTTGTAGTTTGAGAACGTTAGTGGTCAGATGAGCAACAGTTGATAGGTAACCCTTTCCATGTGATCTTCAGGCACACCTTCGGTCCTAAGTAGAACAGGGTTCAGGAGGAGGACATTTATTATGTGAGGACGATGAGAGTGGGTGGGTGTCTGGGGATTTCTGGGCTTCTTTACAGAGAGGGTGGGGTGGGATCACACTAGAGATCCAGACATTGCCTGTTGGAAGATCCCAGAGCCTAGGCTGCACTCCTTGGGTGATTTACAGAATTCTCCAGGGGACACAGACCCACATATATACATACACATGTAATTGATGCTGATTGTCATGTTTGGTTGTTGAACAGGTGTGTAATTCACATAATTTATGTTTTAAGGAAACCTACTTTGGAGAGTACACAGATTCCAGTGATAATGAGTTTGTCTCACATGAAGATTCTGCTGAAGATGATGACACAGCTGACTCACAGGCTTGTTTTGGCCTAGCCAGAAAAAATAAAGGAAATGGTACCTGGGAGGAGAAGCCCAAATCAAAAGAAACTGTCCAAGTTCTAAATAAGTTCGCAGTAAATGAAGTGAAAACGGTTGGGTGTAAGACATTAGCAGCACCCCTGGGAGAAGCTTCAGCCACATCTACTTTTGCTCAGGAAACACGCTGGACGGTGCCACCAGACTTCTTGAGTTGCAGAGGTCGACTGGCAGATGAGGGGCTCGGGGAGAGGAGGAGGTCTGTGCAAGCTGAGCAAGTGCTTCCCGGTCCCTCCAGGAGCCTGTCGGTTGAAAAGTTGTCTGGCGGGCTGTCAGGAGGCCGGGATGCCGAGGCTGGGAAGTCCGGTTTGTATTTCATGCCCCTTGGCAAGAGGCCTCTGAATGAACTCATTGGCTCTGATGAGAAAGCCTCGTCATCGAAAAAGATAGGATCACCCCACTCAGAGTTTATCAGGTACACGCTTGCTGATGAGTTTCCTTCCACATCAGGTGTCACAGGTTGTGGCTCTTTTCCAAAGACACCTAGAGAAACGGCAAAGGAAAGGGAAGATGATCAAGAATCCACTTCAGAATCATCGGAATCCGAGGATGACGACCCAGGCGACGGGCTGGGTCCAGTGGGACAGGACGGTGGCGCAAAGTCTTCCTCGACCTCGATGTCAGTGTCTAATTTCAGTCACCCTCAGCCCTCGAAGCTACAGTATGTTAACATCGCAGATATGCTAAATAAAACAATGCCCACCCAACTGCCTCATTCAGAACAAACACTACCAACTCGAAACCTGTTACTTGCGCAGTCCGAGCCACCAGAGCCCTCTCAGCAGGGAAGCAACCCGGGGAGCCGCTTACGTTCTTTGAGCCCAGGACTAGAGTCACTGACGTTTAGAAATCTGAGGAGCAGGCAGACAGCAGGTGCAAACATGGCAAAAGACACGACCAGAATCTCACTTTCTCAATCAGTGTTTAGGAAGATGACAAATGGTGGACAGAGTGAAAGCCGAGATCCTAAGTCGGCTTTGCCTTCCACAGGTTCTGAGTCTGGCTTGAGCGAGAGGGACCGTGGTTGTGATCAGAGCACTTCGTGGCACCACAATGATTCAGTAAGGAGAGGCGGTGAAGAAAGTCCAAGTGCTACCTCAGAACGTGAACAAAAGTCTAGCCATCAGCTAGAGAAGGCCGTGACAGCCTCACAGAATGGGGCATCTTCAACCACACTTGAGCTGCCAAGAGAAAATGCCAGTCCTGCTTCTTTACTGCTCAGCCCAGCGTTGGTCACCATGGGACGGGCAAGTCCCGAGCAGGATCTGAGGGGCAGTGTGGATGTGGGACACCGTGAGAATGAGTTGACCTCAGCCCCAGAAGAGGGTGATAACCACGCTGAGGATGTGCCTGCGGCGGAGTGTGTTGCGGATCCGGCCAGAACAACAGGAAACGTCCAAGAAGGGCCTGCCCAGAGGAGCACTTCTCCAGAACTTTCTGTGTCTTGTAGCAAACTGGATTTTGATTCTCAAGGTGGTCCCGTACCAGCAGAAAATGTTGATTGTTCCACAAGTAGGAGATTGTCTTTCTCATCTGAGGATGCCCCCTGCCAAAGCCAGGACTCCAAGGAAGCCGCAGGGCTCAAGGAGGGTCCAGGCGAGGCTCTGGGCGAGGCACCGCGGCCCTCACCGGCTCCACCTGCCCCAGATCCTGACCCCCTCTGCCAAAGCCAGGACTCCTCCAAGGAAGCCTCAGGGCTCGAGGAGGGGCCAGGGGAGGCTCTGGGCAGGACACGGCGGCCCTCACCGGCTCCACCTGCCCCAGATCCTGACCCCCTCTGCCAAAGCCAGGACTCCTCCAAGGAAGAAGCAGGGTGTGAGGAGGGGCTGGGCGGGGCACCTCGGCCCTCACAGGCTCTGCCTGCCCCAGATCCTGACCCCCTCTGCCAAAGCCAGGACTCCTCCAAGGAAGATGCAGGGTGTGAGGAGGGGTCAAGGGAGGGTCCAAGCGGGGCACAGCAGCCCTCACTGGCTCTGCCTGCCCCAGATCCTGACCCCCTCTGCCAAAGCCAGGACTCCTCCAAGGAAGAAGCAGGGTGTGAGGAGGGGCTGGGCGGGGCACCTCGGCCCTCACAGGCTCTGCCTGCCCCAGATCCTGACCACTCTGGGGTGGAGAGTGGTGAACTGCTTCCCACTGAGTCCGCCAGGTCAGGGGACCGTCCTGCAGAAGAGAGCCCCTGTGGGCATGCAGTCAGCCCAGGCGGTGGTGCTTTGGCTGTTGCAAACGATTCTGCTACCATGCGGCAGAGTTGTGAGCTTTCCAGAGTGACGTCCCCCGCGCCTCCAGCTTCCCCCCAGCCGCACCTCCCCACGGCCACCGGGCTCTCCGGAGTGCCTTTCAGGACAGCTGAGGAGATGCGGGGCATCCCCAGCAGCAGCCTTCCGGGCACTCCAGAGCGGGGAGAGGAGAGCAGCACGGACGGGAGTGAGCCTCTCAGCTGCAGCGAGGGAGAGCTTGAGGGCGACGCTGTGGCGGGCAGCGGACGGCAGCAGCCAGCCAGTGACGCCCAGAGCACTGCGGGGGGGACCGAGGGCGCGGCCCCCGCCCACCAGCCCGCGGTGGATGTGGGGCACCTGACCTTGGCTCTGCAAGACTTTAACATCAGTGCTTTTCCTGACATAGACAGACTTTCTACATCAGACGTTGCTGTGTTTCTTGAGAGTTGTCAGTTACAGGACTGTAGTTCAGGGGACTCTGTTTCGGAATGTTCCAGCAAAGGAACTGAGATGAGCAAAGAACTAAAGCAAAGTGGAGTCTCAGGAGAGAAATGTGAGGAGCAGCTTTGTGAAGAAGAAACACCGGGCACCTCTGAGGAGTGGATTGAATCGGAAAAGGTTGACAGCTCCGTAAGAAGTCCCAGTCAGCTTGTCCAGTGTTCTTTGGAGACCCTGACTGAGGTTCTCACCAAGATTGGGCAGGAACTTCAGACAAACTGTGAGGACTGCGATGATGCGGACAGTGGTGATTTATCGCCCGTAGGTGCGAATAGCCCAGCTACTGAAGGTTTGAAAGAGAGTGGCCCCTCCGAGGGAGCCAGCGGCTCAACATCCCGTTCTCCAGAGCAGTTCCTGCTCGTCACTGAAGAGCAGGTTGAGGACCGCTCGGGCGGGCGCGGGAGTGCGGACGCTGGGAAGGATGGCCTGGCTGCACCTGCAGACTCTCTAGTCCCCGCCTCTGTCTCTGTGACCCAGTTCAGGATGGAGCAGAGCTCTGGTTATGAGTCGGAGACGTTTCAGATCCACACGTCTGCAGGGACCTCCGAAGTTACGGACACACACTTGGAGAAGGATCAGATGGGAGGCACGGAGAAAGAGGTGGAGCGGGCGGCGGGCGGCACGGCTGCCTCCCCCGCTGCGGACACTTCTCAGGCTCAGGAGGAGGTGGGAGCTGCCTCTGTCTCCATGACTTCCACAGAGACCTCCCCAGAGACTGGTCACACAGCCCCTCCGTTTCAAGAACCTCCAAGTGGCAGTGCCTTTACAGTGGCCCAAGGGGAGGTGTCAGGCAACGGCCAGAGTGCCAATTTCGATAAAAGTCGCTTGCGTAATAGACCTGTTAAGCCTAGTATATGGATTAGTTCTCAAATATACGACCAGACCTTTGAGGCTCAGAACGTGGCATCTGATCATACGTATTATAACTCAAAACTAGAGCCATCTGGCAAAAATAAGACGCGATCCAAAATTTCAAACAAAGATCCATCCAACAAGCCAGTGAAGACTTCAGTGAGCAAGGGAGAAGTTCACACCGACATCCCTCAGTCCCTTTCAGGAGAGAGTGGTATGAAAAGTCAGAGAGGTCAAACTCAGCCCGTTCTGGCACAGGCTGATACCTCTGTGTCCACAGACGGCCCTGTGGACACTCTGAGCAAGATTCGCCAGGAGGTGGGGCCCCCACTGCCTCCTCTTCTGGCCCCGTTGATAGCTACGCCCCCACGGGCTGCCCCCGCACCCTCGCCCCTCCTCCCCAGTCCTTCCTCCCCAGCCTCTCCCCTTGGCAAGATTTCCCCGGCCTGTGAAATCCCAGTGCCGCCTCTGCTGTCTCCGTGGCCAGAAGAGCCCCTGAGCTCTTCCCCACCCCAGCCCTCTCCGTCTCCTTCTCCAGCAGCCGGTGGGAGGATACTGTCCTCTCCTCTGCAGTTCTGTGCGGCCACTCCCAAGCACGCCCTTCCGGTGCCTGGAAGACTCCCACCCTGTGCCCCAGGCCCGGCCGCGGTGGCAGTGCCACAGGAGAATTCTGTGAAAATCCTTGATACCATGTATCCCGAGTTGTCTGCCCGGGCCCGGACCCTCAGCATCCTCAAAGGCAACATGCAGCTGTCTCGAGGAACATCTGCCGACGGTAAGACCTTGCCAGGCCGAGTCAGTGCTCTCCTGGGGCTCAAAGCCATCACGTCCACATCCACAGCCTTTGTCAAAACAGGAAGTAGCTCTGGTGGTGACAGTTGTCAAGGTAGGTCGAGAGACTTGGGACCTCTGCAGGCCCCAGGTAGCAAAAGAACATTGTCAGCATCTGCACCGAGGAGTGCCAAACGACTGCGCCTGGACAGCGAGTCCCCAGAGCCAGAGCCCCAGGGGGACCTCCCGGAACACCCCCGACAGGCCGAGGTCACAGCAGAGGAAAGGAGCTCAGTGCTGGCCAGCAGCCCCGTTCCACAGCTGCTTGTGAGCCCCAAAGAAACTGTGGAGTCCCATGATCAGGCCATCCTGCATGCACTGAAGAAAGTGGCTGAGTCGTCCTTCGACCTGTTGCCTGTCATTAGGAGCCATGTCTACGTGGGAAACATCTCCAAGAAGCCTGTGATGAGAGACCAGGAGAAAGAGGTGGTCTTTGAGTTCAGCACAAGGAAAAAGGTATGTGGCTATCCCCCCCCCCCCCCCCCCCCGCATGCTCATACTGCACGTCCTTAGAGGCAGCCCCGTCCGGTGTCAGCAGCTTGTGCAGATGACCCTGAGGTCACCCCAGTGATCTGAAGTACTATGAGGCATCCACTGTTAACTTAAATTTTTACCAGGGAAAAAGTATTGTGCCCTAAAATGGTTTGATCCTGGCACATGTGTAAAGGCTCAAAATGCTCAAATGGCTGTCACAGAATACATCTATCACTGCTGAGTGTGAGGACAGGAGGAAGGGGGCTGTGGTGGTCTGCATGCCCTGCTCACTGGACCTTCTAAGCCTTTACTCAGGTTCTAGTTACTGAGCAGGTAGCATCTCCTTTTGAAGATGGTCACCAGCACTTAGTGCCCATCCCTGGACCTTTGTGCTATATATGTTTTGTTTGTTTTTGACTCCTGTGTTCAGAAAGCAAGAAGAACATGGAAACTGTATATTTGAAAGGGTTTTCTTTCTTTTTTGCCAGTCCTGGGGTTTGAACTCAGGGTCTGGCCTCTGTCCCTGAGCCTCTTTGTGCTCAAGGCTAGCGCTCTACCACTTGAGCTGCACTGCCACTTCTGGCTTGTTCTGAGTAGTTTATTGGAGATAAGAATCTCATGGACTTGAACTGGAATCTTCAGATGTCAGCCCCCTCAGTAGCTAGGATTGCAGGTGTGAGCCACTGACGCCTGGCTTAGGTTTTTCATTTAATACTCCTAATCACTAAACATATCACCTAGTGTCTTATGTTGTAAGCAGTATAACAATTTTAGGAAGCAAGAATGTGAATAGAAGTAGACTGGACCTAATGAACACACCGATTCTTTTTGCAAGAACCTGGAAATGATGACAATAAGGCAGTCTGGGTGTGCCCTGGGCATCTGCTGTATGATCCACCACAAGGAGCAGACAGACCTGGGAGGGCTCATTGCCTCCAGGGCTGGTGGCTCCTTTGCTGCTGTTGTACTTCTAGTCCTGTGCAAGTTTAGACGCCTAATTGTGTGATACGTAGCTATTTTTAGAGACACTAGACATAAATAACAGTGTACTTTGCTTTTTTCCTTCTTCCAATCCAGCATTTAGCAGAACGCTTGCTTTGCTCCATTCTCTCAGAACTAAAACTTCAGAAGAAGTCTATAGACCACAGTTATATCCATGCCCTCTGCAGGGTGTATGTGGGCATTTGCCGGCAGCTTGGAGACTTGGAAAGAGCTCGCTTGTTTTGCTATAGCCTACTTAAGGAAGGTATGTTTAGGTTAAAACATTTTTGTGTCCATTTTTATGTGTAGTTTTCTTCTGTTTATTGTTTATTTTTTATTAGAGTTGTATTGTACATCTATTAGAGGACAGCTTTGCTATTCTACCTAACTTTGCTAAACCAGATTTTCAGAACAGTTAAAATTACCTATTGTCAGCACATTCAGTTCTACTTCTCTGTAAATACAGTATCTTTCCTTAACTGTGTATTTTATTTATTTATTTTGTTCTCGGTCCTGGGGCTTGAACTTGGCTTGGGCACTATCCCTCAGCTCTTCAGCTCAAGGCGAGTGCTCTACCACTTGAGCCACAGCGCCACTTCCAGTTTTCTAGTTGTTTATTGGAGATGAGTCTCATGGACTTTCCTGCCCGGGCTGGCTTTGAACTGTGATCTCAGATCTCAGCCTCCTGAGTAGCTAGGATTACAGGCGTGAGCCACCAGCGCCCGGCTTCTTACTTTGTATTTTAAAGTCCCCCGTAGTTGCAGTAAAATGCCGGACTCCTCTTCCAATGGCTAGGCAATGGTAATGCAGCAGCTGTGAGATGGAGTCATGGCGCGCAGAAGGAAGGTGTCGGCGGGGAGTACTGTGTCGTCTGTTTCTTGTAAGGAATGGAATCGGGAGCCGCTCCTTCAGTGCCACAGATCATCAGTGTCTGTGAATTGCCACTTCATACCATATATGACAGTCCGTGTATATTTGCTTCTTCAGTCACTGATTTGTTCATCACATCATTAGTATGGGCATCACACTTAGTGTGTGGAATTTTGTGGTGGCCAAGTCAGATGCAGGTGTGACTATTCGCAGTGACTGAAAGGCCACAGCTACATCCCAGAAGCTCACCAGCTTTACTAGTGCTGGGCAGTGGAGAGGGATCTGGGCCCAACCACATCCCTGCTTATTCCTAGCCGGGATCCTCTTCCTCTTTGCCTCCACCTTACCATGGCTCACTCTATGACTACACATAACTCCGACTCAGTCTGTGTCCTGTATTCTCATTTGTCTTCGTGGCCTTAACTGGTCCATGTCATATGATAAAATTCATTTTGTCTTCTCACTCTCATTCTCTGGGTTGCACATTCTGAGAAAACAAATGTGTCTTCTTCTTGTTTCCCTCTGCAAATTGTTGGTAACCATGCACCATCTACTGTGTGAATGATTGGACCTGGGATGGTAGCTTTGATAGTGTGAACAGAGTGGTAGTAGTGTTCCTTGTCAAAGAACTTGCTCTGTGATGGGAAGATGCAGAGAAAGTGTGCAGTAAAGAAGGGAAGAGAGAATTCTAGGCAGGGAATATGTGTGCAAAATATTTTGAAAGAAATATCAACAGATGGAGTCAGGCTGTTAAAAACCAACAGATAAAGAGGTAGGTCAGAGAAAAATTAAAGAGACATGTCTTCATGACAAACCGGCTAAAAGTCTTCACAATGACATCAGAAAACTCAGTCATTTTTATAAAATAAAGGCATTTGTTGACCTTGTGACCTAAAACTCCCAGTGCTAGGCGTATGACTGATAGAAATAGACATATCCGTGTATAGCCCATAACTGGAAACAGATGTGGATCAGCAGGGGAATGGAAAATTGAACTGTGACCTCCCACACAATGGAGATGATCCTTAGCTGTAAAGGAATGGCTACATCATGAATGAGTCTCAGGAATTGTGCTGTAGAAAAGCCAGATGGAAAAGAGTTTGAGAATGAAAAGACATAGACCTCATAGTGACATAAGCCAATCAAGGATTCTCCGTGTCTGTGAGGTTATCTCACGAACAAGGTTGGACAGAGCAAGTTGTGGTGATGGTTACCTGGGTTCATTAATTTGTCAAAATACATCACCTCTAAACTTAAAAGAATACATAGTTTGTTAATTTTTAGCAAGGATTTATGACCAAATAGGGCATATATATGTTTTTATCTATGTGAATATATATACACATGTATATATTCACACATATACACGTATATACACATTACATATATATATATATATATATATATATATTGCTCATTACATCAAATATCTTTATAACTCATACCTCTGCGTTTGCATTCAGAGAAGCTTCTTGTAGTGACATGGGTAAGTTGGGAGAATCTTGAGGCTGAGGAGATTGGAGACAAAATATTTTCCTTTTCTGTCTTATTTTTTCCTTTTGCTTCTACTGCTATTTATTTATATACCATGTTTAAAAGTTAACTTCAAAAAAGTGGCCAAGAGGAAATAAGAGAGAAGGTTTGAAATGGTTGCTGAGGTCAGATCTTATCTGAGTATCCATTTATATGCCCCTAACCACAGGGCAGCTGTAAGGCTCTGGTGGGATGAATACATTGTACTTGTGGCTTTAAAATTCATTCACTTGGGCATATGTCATTTTACCCTCCGGTTTTCTTTCTCATAGATTTTCCAGAGTCTGAGAAACTGGCTTTGTTTATTGCAAACATGTGGCATGATGTATTTGTTTCTCAGTCGGTGATTAGTAAAGCAATGCAGTTGGTTGCAAGGCAGCGTGCTAAGGGAGAGGTTCTCAACTGTTTGAGAGCCTTCCTCAACTGGGAAAAGGTGAGCTTTATTTTTATTTCTTACAGTGCCATGCTTGAACACCATACCTACATGATGCTGTGTTAGCTGTGTATTCATTCCTAGGCAGTTTAGAGATGCTGTCCTTCATATTAGGTCCTATAAAATGCCATTTTAGCATGATTGTGTCCAGAAAGAACAATGGAGCTGTCTTAATTTAACTTCTTTTTACACTCATTTATGACTGATGAAATCCACATACAAGTGTATATAAATCAAATGCTGTTGGAGCTATGAATTATTTAATTTTTACACAAATATTTAGAGAGGTGAAACGGTTGATATCCTCCATTTCTTCCATGGGTAGGCTTTTTCTTATTCTAATATTTTATATTTATCTTTCTACTGAATGGAACGTGTTCTAAATCTTTTTTTCTCACATTACTTTATATTATTTGATTTTTCTTTAGTTACTAATATGTCCAAGTAGGATATTTTATCTAATGAGAATCTGACGATATTAAATTTTTGGTTTTAGCTTTCAAATCGTTTTCTAGACATAGGAGAAGAGAAATTGTTTCCTAGACCCAGGAAAGGAGAGCTCCAACTGTTTCCTAGACCTGGGAGGGGAGAGCTTAAATCATTTTCTAGACCTGGGAGTAAGCCTTGAGGAGGAGTGCTCAAATTGTTTACTAGGCACAGGAGAGGAGAGCTCAAATCGTTTTTCTAGACGTGGGAGAAGAGAGCTCTGATTGTTTTCTAGCTCTTTAGAGGAGAGAGCTTTCTAGTAACGGGAGAGGAGTGTTCTTTTCTAGGGATGTAAAGTCAGTGTTTGAGAGGTCACTTGCACAGGACCTTCCATATCCAACATCACAGACACTCAGCCACACGTGCACGGTCCCTCTACGGGAGTATTCTCTATCCAGATGATTCAATTCCAAGAATTAATGACGTGGTTTTGCTTTGTTTTACTTTGAAATACTTGCAGACTATACATTGAGTCTGCCCATTCTGAAACTCTAGAATGCTCTGGAATCCAAAGCTTTTTGAGCATTATGAGCATGAGTTTCAGATTTTTCAGGTTAGGAGTACACAACTCACAGTGCCATGTTTGGAAGAATTCTCTCTGTTTGCATTTTCAGAGTAACTTCTCTACCTAGTTTATGCTGTGGGGTTAAAGCTCCTTCAGAGTATACTTTAGAAATGACTGCTTGGTTTAAATTGCTACTCAGTTTCAAAGTTGTAAAATTATTAACCTGTTACAATGGAATTTAAATTCATAAATTATGTTCCAGTTGTATACCAGGTAGTAGTTTCAAAGGTAACAGAGTTACTGTAGCCATTGATTTGTGTTAGACTAACTCACATTTATCAGATTGCCCTCTTCTCAGTGATCAATGCTGTTTCTAGACTTCAGTATTTTAGGTGTGATTGATGTTTAAAGTAATCAGAAACTTAACATATTCCTCAAAACACTTCAAACTAAGCAACAGAATATTCTAAGCACTAAATCAACTTCTGAATGCAAAAGATCAAATTTAGATTGTAGGATATGGATTCATTAAATATTCAAATATTGCCCACTGAACTACATTCTCTTCTAACATTTTTAGTTGCAAACATGATTCTAATATCAAATGATCTATACCATAACAATAGTTAAACATCAGGTTTAATATGAGCTGGAAGTGGGAAGGCCCTGCCTGCTCCATTGATGAGTGTTTATTTACTGGAGAGAAGTAAAGATTTTGTCCCCAAAAAGACTTGTAGTGGAATGGGCAGAGCCACAGTAACCCAGATGTCTGTCAGCAGGGAAGTTCACCTATTCACGCTGCATCTACATGCAGCAGTATCCAACAACCACACGCAAATGTGAAGCGTGCAAGATTTAATTATGGGTCAATTTTAGGGCTTTGTAGAAAAGGCAGACTAATTTCCAGTGCCAGAAAGAAAACAGAATTTAAAGGAAGTTGTAAGAATTTTTTTTGGTAACTAAGATTAGAACTAATACTCTAGTGATAATGGTGAAAGATTTTCAAAACCTTCCTATTGGTGTTCAGTGAGGTTGCCAACAGGATGCTGCGTGGCTCAGGCTTTGAACCACGCTTCATGATTCGCTTTTCTTCTGCTAGAGCGCGCCAGTGGATGTGAGTGTCATGGTGTCGAAGCTGCTGCTGACCATACAGTTATGTCCAAAGACAGAGTTCCAGTCCAGCGAGACCTACGGTGAAGACCTCAGCGGTGACACGTGGGAATACATATTTGCCATCGATCTGCTTTGCTGCCATCAGAAATGGATTTGGACACATGATAACATTATAAGGTGGCCTGTTTTGCTAACTTAAAAAGCGTTGTTTTAATTGCAAGGTAGTCTATTGAATGTTTAAGTGCTTTGATTGTATTTATTTGTAACACAAGGTGGTTGAGATATTTGCAGATAACTTCATTTGAATGAGAGTTGATAAAATTGCCCTAGAACATTGTCATCACAAGTAGTTGCTTTAGTTTTTGGTACTGTTCACTGCTTTTTGTTATATTTTGTTACTGCTTCTCCCCAGCAGGAGAGATCTCAGGAACCGGGACTCTTCTTCCACATGTAGACTAGTGACCACACAAAGGAGGGTGTAGAATAAAGAAAGCATTCTCTTAGCATACCGATAATCTGAAAACATGCAGAGGAACAGAAATATTTCAAATTACAGTTTAGCCACTCTTGACTTGAGACCAAATTCAGCCAGGATTCACCAGGATTCCACTGTGTGAGCTGTTCTCTGTCCATCTGTAATTCTAGCACTAGTTCTAACATGCTGCTTCTGAGAGGGTGGGGACAGTTGTTCTTCAGATACTTTTATGGGACCCTGTCTGAGAAAGGCTGGTTTAAGGGAGTTTGTGATATTAAAAATCATTGCAAATGTAAAGAGTCGATAAACTAGGTCCCTGAAATACTTGAGGAATGGAAACTGTAGAAACTGCCTTTGCAAAGATTTTTCTGTGTACAAGGATGCTCTTTTACCCTAGGCATCCAATGCCAGGACAGATTAGACATCCAAATATCAGTAGGAATTGTATCATGTAGAATAAGATTGAGTTAAATGTACTTATCTAGTGTATGTATGTATTTAATGTTAAAAATGTATAACTGTAAGTAGAATTTTTGTGCATTTACATGGAAAAGTATTTCATCGTCAGTTACTAAGTAAGTCGGTGTCAGAACCCTGTGGCCAGTTCCTGACTGAGTAGCTGAGCGTCTGAGTCCTTTCATGAATCATGGGGCTTCCATCCCCAGTGGGGAGAAGCCGACACCGTCAGAATGTGAGAAAGCTCTATGCACAGTGCTCCCAACCAGCAGCGAGGACAGCGTGGAGGATTAGGGCCTAGCGCTAGACCCGCCTCTGCTCAGCAGCTCAGGCCCCACCATGCAGTTGACCTGGAAAGGTCGCAGTCAATAGTCTGTATCTGAGATAGCATCCTTTGGAAGTTCTTTGCTTTTCGTTTTTCCTTTGTCTGCATTTATCATTTCCAACTATAATAAACACCATGCAAGAAAGAGAATAAAAGGAGGAATGGACCTGATTGTCAGTCATGGGAGTGAGTTTGTCCTTCTATGTTGTGCTTGGGTTTGGACATTTCGGGTCCCTCTGGCTTGGCCCTGGAGCACCTGTGACTTTGTCTGACATCCACTGGTCCACTGGAGGCTCAGAGTCCATATTCCATCTCTTCCTAATTTGGTGATGTAAGGGACACTATAGAATAAGGACTGTACCAGAGTAAAGACGCAGGTATTTGTAGCCCCTGTAACCAGTGTGGGCACGAAGATCCTGAGAAGCTGGAGAAGATCTGAGCTCCCAGTGCCTGTTATCATAGGGAGAACGGGAGTGCATGTCTCCTCGTGCTCTCAGGACAGCGTGTGAGAACGTGCCTGCTGCACGCCTAACCCCTGGGGAGGTGGGAGTCTGGAGGACTGCAGTTCAGAGCTAGCTGGGCTTCCCAGCTCCTGGGGAGGTGGGAGTCTGGAGGACTGCAGTTCAGAGCTAGCTGGGCTTCCCAGCTCCTGTTGTCCGGCAGAAAGCACGACTCATGGAGTACAGCGCCAGCTGTGAGCCAGCAGGCTGATCAGCGCGGGACCCCCGAGTTCAGACTTCAGGGCCCAGTACCAGCAGCAGCAGCAACAAAAACAAAACAGTTCTGCTTGATGTGCTTACCTCTTTTCGTGTCTTTTTCTAGTAAGGAGCTGTGGCCTGTAATGGATAAGTGGATAAAATACAGAAAAGGACACGCCAACATTGCCTTCACTCCCGACGTCATTATAGCATCCGTCCTGAGACTGATCGGTGAGCCATCCCATCTTTGCAAACTAGCCAAAAGCATGAGAGTCAGCTGGGTGTTTCCAGGGTCCTTCTGGATCAGGAATTAGCCAAAAGCATGAGAGTCAGCTAGGTGTTTCCAGGGTCCTTCTGGATCAGGAATTAGCCAGATTTCTGTGGTCATTACATATTTACTGGCTCTCTGTCACAGCATTCAACCATAAACTATGTGCATGTTTCCAGGGTCATCCTTGATTAGGAATTAGCCATATATGCTACGGTCATTAAATATTTACTGGCCATGCCTGCATCCCAACCCTCAGAGTGTATGTTAACAGGCACCAGACTGGTTCCTTGGGGCAGACAAAGTAAGTACTGTGGGCCTCAGTTTCTCCAGATTTGAAGTCAAGAAGGTCACGAAAAGCATTTGCACGCTCATCAGTTGCGAGGTTCACCAGGCATGCAATATAATATTGCAGTGTCAGTCCTCACCCCAGTGTGAGGCAGGTCCCAATCTGAGGACTCTGGGGAGCCGAGGGCCCTGTGCAGGTTGTCCAGTGTCTGGATTGCACACTGGTGGCTGTTGGCTCTAAACTTGATGCCGGCCACCGCACACTCGGCCTGCCGCAGCCACTGCCCTCCACATTCAATTTGTTTTGTAGTAGCTTTGCTGTGTGCAAACAGGTGATTCTCCCTTCCCACTGCACCTCCTGGAAGACAAGCAGCACATCATTGAGTCTCACACGATGCTCTTTAACAGCCTATTCTCACTGAAGACATCATTCTGCAGGCCTACAGTGCTCAGTGTTACAGAACAGAAAACATATACTTGCAGTGCTAGGTAACATTGACCAGCATTTCACCAGAGACTTTATGTGTTGTTTTGTGTTGTTTGCTTTGTCCCAGGTCGATTAGGCCAATTGGGTTTGAAGGAAGGATTTCCAACTGCGGTGAAAAATATTAGCTCTGTGATTGGGACGTTCATACAGCATGCTCAGGACGAAGGTAAAACTCTTCCATTAAAATTGCTTTCCTGTCGCTTAGCCTCTCTTTCAGCCTGCTGCTTCTTTCCTGGCTTGTACCTGGGACGTGAGCCAGCGCAGCCAGTGTTAATATTTGCATGTGTTCTGCCCCGGGCTTGGCCTCTGGATGCGCGGTCGTGCGCTGTGCTGGCCCATGCCTCCCTTTCTCCCTCTGCTTTGCCCTGTCTGTCCTCTGGCCATGGTGCTGGCTTTCCACGGCCTCCTGCTGGCAGTTGCTGACTGTGGGCAGAGGTGCTGTGCCCTGGCACGGACACTGCTGCCTGCTTCCTGTGAGGAGGGGGTGAGGGACGCCGAGTGGAGCCGCGGGGATTCCCGTCCCTGCTAACCAGCTGCACAGCCCAGAGGGTAGGCCATTTTTCCTTAGCAAAGCTTAGCTCAGAGTCACCCTCAGAAGCGAGTGTCAGTAGGAAGTTGTGAATTCAACATTAGAAGCGTCATCTTATGCAGGGCCTGGACGCATAGCTTATCTTGGCTGAGAGATCTTTGTCCGTAGCATTCAGCATGTCACTGGACCTGACACCACCAAGAGCCTCCTGGAGTGCTTCTCTCAGGCACCTGCCTGACTTAGGGCAGTGGCCAGGTACGGCCCATTTTTCCCCCAGTCTCAAGGGGATAGAGCCTAGCGAGTCCTTTTGCCAGTGGTGCAGACTTGCTGTGTTGCTGTGGCAGGCATTTCCCTTGGGAGGAGGCACCACACACCGCACAGCTAGGGAGCCAGCAGCCTTCTGGGCATGACAGGGTCTGCACGCCACACACCGACGCCCAGGGGCCGTGCGGCTTGCTTCAGTTCAGGAGCCTGGAAGTGTCCTGCCAGAGCTGAGTTCGCAGGTGTGTCTGCCAGCGGAGCCCTCACTCAGCTCAGCCCCTGCAGACCCCCGCTGTGGGTCCCCTCACCCCACCCCTGCATTCGGTTCTCACCAGGGCATTTTTGCCCATGGGCCATGTGGAGCTCTGCCCTCCTTGCAGTGCTTGTGAGTTGGAGAGGAAGCTATTAGAACAGGAGCGGTGCCTGCATTGTCAGAACTCACCTTTGGATAGGTGAGGTTTTGTGCTGTGTGTTTATTTTAATACAGTTTGGGTATCCTTAACACCCAGTTTACAATTTTTTTCCTAATCTGTTTCTGGATGCTGATAGATCACCACGGGCAGAGATTGTCCAGCGTACATCTTCCACTCATAAAATTATTAAAATATTTGATAAAATTACCCTTAGGCTATCCATGATGGTCTCTATGAAATGTAAATGAATTTCACATTTCCTCCTGAGTTCCGTGCTGTGCATGTGCAGGTGTGCCAGGGTACAGCATGCCTGGAGCAGTTGCCGTACACAGCACGCGGCCACGCCCACTCGGTGGCCACGCGCCCCTGGTCCTGTGGCACCCACTTAGTGTGCCCTGTTGCACAGTCCCTTCTGCACGGCTGCATAGACTCCACTCTTCAGTAATCTAGACTGAATTAAGTAAGCTGAGCTTCAGTAAATTTTAATTAAATGACTCCTAAATAAACGTGCTAGAAGAGAACAGTGATGACACATTGTAAGTCGTCAACTAGCATTTCATAGAATGTGCACTGGGTGTCTAGGGGCAGGGCGTGTGCAGGGTGGTGTGAGCAGAACATGGGCAGGGCTGGTGTGTGCGGAGCTGGAGTGTGTGGAGAGCTGGTGTGTGCAGGGAGGGCGTGTGCAGGAAGGGTGTGAGCAGAACGTGGGCAGGGCAGGGTGTGTGGCGAGGCAGTGTGGGGCGGGGTGCACTCTTGTCCAGAGCCCGCTCATGAGCCCTGCCTGGCCTGGGATTTCGCAGGGCCGCACGGTGGTGGCATCGTGTTCTTGAGTTCTCTGGGCACTGCGCCAGGCCCTGTGAGCTCGGCCAGTAGTATACAGCTCTTACAGAAATTTTAACTGCAATTGGCTAGCACTAGTATTTACTGCTGGAGTAGGAAGTGTGTAGATGACGGCATTAAAACTGTCCTGTGCTTGCTTGCTGTGTTACGATTAACTGGAAATCCCTTGCAGATATCCCGTGGGGCATCCAGCTAGCAGCCGTGTACGCCCTTTGCGATCTGAGCCCCAGCAACCCAGCACAGATTGCCCAGGTCCTGGAAGGCTGGCGCAGAGCGGCCTCTAACAGCGTGCCGTCCGCACTCCTCGGCTACCTGGAGGAGGTGGGTGCCCTGGGCCAGGAGGGCGAGCCCCGCGCCACCCCGTGAGCGGGGAGAGCCCCACAGGCTCACCAGTCTGCCTTCGGATACAGACTGCGGCTCCACGCAGCACCGAGGCCACCCCCCGACCCTGCTATCCCCACCGCAGCCACCCCCCCCGACCGTGCTGCCCCCCACCCCGGCCCCCCAACCCCGGCCCCACGCAGCACCGAGGCCACCCCACCCCCCCGACCGTGCTGCCCCAACCCCGGCCCCACGCAGCACCGGGCCATCCCACCCCCCCCGACCGTGCTGCCCCCACCACGGCCCCCCCAACCCCGGCCCCACGCAGCACCGAGGCCACCCCATCCTGACAGTGCTGCCCCAACCCCGGCCCCCCAACCCCGGCCCCACGCAGCACTGAGACCACCCCACCCTGACAGTGCTGCCCCCACCGCGGCCCCCCCAACCCCGGCCCCACGCAGCACCAAGGCCACCCCACCCTGACCGTGCTGCCCCCACCGCCGCCCCCCCAACCCCAGCCCCACGCAGCGCCAAGACCACCCCACCCTGACAGTGCTGCCCCCACCGCAGCCCCCCAACCCCAGCCCCACGCAGCACCGAGGCCACCCCATCCTGACAGTGCTGCCCCCACCACGGCCCCCCAACCCCAGCCCCACGCAGCACCGAGGCCACCCCATCCTGACAGTGCTGCCCCCACCGCAGCCCCCCAACCCCAGCCCCACGCAGCACCAAGGCCACCCCACCCTGACAGTGCTGCCCCCACCGCGGCCCCCCCAACCCCGGCCCCACGCAGCACCAAGGCCACCCCACCCCCCGACCGTGCTGCCCCCACCACGGCCCCCCAACCCCGGCCCCACGCAGCACCAAGGCCACCTCCCCCTACCCCCCCCCGACCGTGCTGCCCCCACCACGGCCCCCCAGCCCCACGCAGCACCGAGACCACCTCCCCCCCAGACCCCGGCCCCATGCAGCACCAAGGCCACCCCGACTGTGCTGCCCCCACCGCGGCCCCCAAGACCATGGCCAGGCAGCAATGAGGCCATTCCGACTGTGTTATCCCCACCGCGGTCCCCCAGACCCCAGTCCCACGTAGCACCGAGGCCCCCCATACCAGTCCCACACAGCACCGAGGCCTCCCCTTCCCCCTGTGGCCCCACGCAGCACCTCGTGAAGGAAGTGGGGCAGGACTCTTGGCTTGGCAGAGAGGAGCCGAGCAGGAGAGCAAGCAGTGCTGACCACCGCCCGACCACACCTCCCGGCCCTGGCTGCTCTGGTCTTGTGACGTGTCAGTTGTGTTACTGTGTTTTGGTCCAACTAAGAAACTTGAACTTAGCCCTTTTTTTGCTGCAGGAAGTGTCCTATTCGTGGCTTCTTAAAACTAAGTGTCATTTGATAATGAATTTAGCAGTAGGAAAACATGATTTGGTTCTTAGCTGCTGTGGACTGCATTAATGCTCACGTGAATGACTAGGAAAAAGCAAATTTGCTTTTATTAGCAGAAAAGTGTCATGTTCTCAGCCAGGGCGGGCTTGGGAAGTCCTCTCGCGATCTCCGCGTGAACTGCTGGAGCAGCTCCCGCACTCACGGACATTCACTTGGATGCGCTCGCTGAAGGAAGAGGTGGGCGGTGGGCGGTGGCCTCCCGGGCCGGGCGGCCGCAGCCCGGGCGTGGTGCGGGCCGCGCTGGGCCGTGTCTCAGTGGGATGATATTCCACTTGGGAATTTTAGTATTTGTATATAGAAAATGGTTTAATAACTCGCCCTGATTCTGACCTGTCTTTATTCATTTCTTAAACTCTTGTATGTGTTTTTATAATAAAATAAAAGCCCTGTACCCTCTTGTTCCGACGCTGCGGTGTGTCCCTCACTGTTGTCTCTGTATGGAGGTGTCTGCGCCCGGTGCCCGGCAGGGAGGCGCTGTTCACCCAGAGCCGGGTTCTCTGGGCGCTGTGGCTGGTCTGTGGTCTGTGGGTAGAACCGTGGACTGGCCATCATCCAGTAAGGGAAGCGTGGGGCCCGCTGTTGAGAACAGCCCCGGACCTCACGTGTGACACAGCAGGACCTTAAAGGAGGGGGCTGGCCTGTACTGCAGGAGTGCCCTGCTGGACGAGGGCCCAAGCACAGGCTAACGCGTGAACCCCAAAGCGGTGAGCCGAGGCATGGCCTGCGCTGACAGCTCCTCCTAGGAGAAGCGGAAGGGCCGGAAGGAAAGCAGAACCGTGGGAGCTCCTGGCTTTGGGGAAGGCTATGCGGGTCTGTAAAAATCACAAGTTCCAAGATTTCCATCTGCTGTGGAAATGAGGAGACATCCAGGCATCAGTGCCTGAAGCAGGTTCTATTGAGATGGGGACACAGGTTAGGCAGTTGACAGGTTGTGAGGCTGTGTGTGTGTGTGTGCGCACGCGCGCGTGCGTGTGTTTGCGTCCACCGAGGGAGAGAACTGACTCGAAGCAGCTTGGCCTGTGGTTGGCAGAGGTGTGCTGAGGAGCGTGAAGAGGACGAGGGCAGGGCACGCAGCAGTGAGCCAGGCGCCACACCCACGCCGGGCGCTGGGGTGGGCACAGAGGAGGCCGCCCAGGGGATGAAGCAGAGTGTTCTAGGAGGGGGACGGGAAGGCAAGGTGGGACTTCGCACGTGGGGTGTGCTCAGGCAATTCACAGGTAACCTCAGTGTGGACGCATTGGAGCCTTGTGCTGTCTGGAGCCCAGCACCGTGTGGCTCTGAGCACTGGCCAGTGGTCAGCCCTGCTTGCCTGCTGTGAACTGACGTGCATGGTGCTCACGCTTCTGGAGCAGAAGCACTTTAAGTGGACAGGAGTTCCTGGTACCCACACAGAACAGTGTTGTGGAAGAGCAACACAAGTCGGGGAGGTTGAAGGGTGCTTGCAGGAGGCCGAGTTGGGTCTGTGGCCCGCACAGGTGCTGGTGCACTGGGGCCTGTGGGCGACGTGAGCCCCCGTCTGAGCAGGCTGGCCGCTCCAGCTGCTGATCTTGGCTCTAGACAAGAGAATGCTGCAGGATGGCCTGGGACCTGTTGGGCCTGCCGCAGAGAAGAGGGCCAGGGGCCGGCAGATGGCCACAGGGACGAGAGGCAGGGGCTGGGCAGATCGTGGGCGTTATCCTAACCATGGCTGCCTGGTAGCCGTGTGGAACACAAACGGAGTCACCTTAACGGAGACACCTCTGACGCAGGGTGCCGGCCCTGGGAACCCAGAGCGCCAGGTCTGGCCAGCCTCACACTTGGCTGTCTGTGCTACGCACTTCGTGCTGTCTCCTTCCTTCATTTGACCTTGTTTTAATTGTAAAGGTGGCGTAAACTGTCTCCTGGTCTCCCGGTGTCCTTCCAGATTTTGTAACTGACAGGGCACCCTGTGCAGTTGGCCTCGTGGCCAGCAGGGGGTGCTGCAGCCCCGCCCATCTGGTTTATTTCCAGGGGAAATGAAGGTTGATTGATAGAACATCAAAAGAAGACAGAAGCAGATACTCTTCCTGTTTGATCCTTTTTTTTCTGGTGACTTTTTAATAACCCTAAAGCAAAATGTTTCGACAGAAACAGAGTGGCACCCGCGGTGACTGGCGGTGATGGAGGCACCCTGCACTTTATTCCCATTGCCCGCTAAGGCAAGCACCCACACTCCCTGCCCCTGCCCTGGCCCGCTCTCCTGCAGTCTTGTCAAGGGTTCGTAGTGTGCCTGTGACGTGAACGTGGCCGCCTTCCTCTCTAAGACTGACAACGGACCGGGTCTCGAGCAGTTCTAAACGTGGACGGGAAGATTGCAAAGTCAGGCCAAGCCATTTATACACACACCATGTTTTCTGCTTCCTTCCTTCTGCCTGACACTTGTTCAAAGAAAGTGTGCGTGATTGTGAAACATGGGAAGTGACTTGCTCCCCCAAACAGAATTAGGAGGAGTGCCTGCTTTTATACCAGGAAGTCTCTATCTTAATATCTTTTAGATCTTTGTGACTAGAGCTGCTGCTGTTTGGGAAATCCGTTTGTCTAGCACAGCCGAGTTCAGGTAATGCAGGCCAACTTAGACTTGTGAGCAACATCCAGGGAGAGGCGGTGTGGTCTGGGCTGTGGGGATGAGCCTGTCCTCTTGCTTTTGAGAAAACCACACACCACACCAGGGCCTCAGCAGGCCGTGCCCGCCTGCCCTTTCCAGGTGCCGGTGTCCATGCTGAAGCACAGCCTGCCTGGACCACCTCTCTGATTTCCTTGCTCAGCTCCACTACCATCCCTGCCTCTGCAGGGGTGCCGTGAGGAGAGATGCCAGCAACTGCTCCCCACAGCCTGTCAGGAGTACGCGCTGGAGCCCAGTGAGTCCTGAAACACGTGCTGCACACCAGCCCTGCTCCCGCATCTGCCACGTACACCTGCCCACACACTCCTGCCCACACACACCTGCCACGCACACCTGCCACGCACACCTGCCATGCACACCTGCCCACACACTCCTGCCCACACACACCTCCCACGCACACCTGCCACGCACACCTGCCACGCACACCTGCCATGCACACCTGCCCACACACTCCTGCCCACACACACCTCCCACGCACACCTGCCACGCACACCTGCCACGCACACCTGCCATGCACACCTGCCCACACACTCCTGCCCACACACACCTGCCACGCACACCTGCCACGCACACCTGCCACGCACACCTGCCACGCACACCTGCCATGCACACCTGCCCACACACTCCTGCCCACACACACCTCCCACGCACACCTGCCACGCACACCTGCCACACACACCTGCCCACACACTCCTGCCCACACACACCTGCCACGCACACCTGCCACGCACACCTGCCCACACACTCCTGCCCACACACACCTGCCACGCACACCTGCCCCTCCCCACACCTCTACCCACACACATGCCCACGCACACCTGCCACGCACACCTGCCCCTCCCCACACCTCTACCCACACACTCCTGCCCCCACACACCTGCCACGCACACCTGCCACGCACACCTGCCATGCACACCTGCCCACACACTCCTGCCCACACACACCTGCCACGCACACCTGCCACGCACACCTGCCACGCACACCTGCCATGCACACCTGCCACGCACACCTGCCCACACACTCCTGCCCACACACACCTGCCACGCACACCTGCC